GTTTATGTCAGAAATATGACAGTACCTAGTTGACATTGGCAAGTGAATGGCAGACTTACACTATTGAGGGACTTAAACATAATCCTGTATTTTAATTGGCTTGTAACTTAAATAATATTTCGACAGAAAATGTAATAGACAGCCGAGTCAGATTATCAAGGTAAGAAATACCAGTAAAATGACATACAGCCACCACATCTGTTAACTGTTGGAATACTCTCCTTAATGTTAATAATCTACCAAAAGAGACTGTGATGTGTTTCTAAGATAGGTTCAAATCATCAGTTTTTTAACTCTCTTTGTAAAGATTTCATTCAATTAAAGGGCAATTCACACCCATATTTGGTCATATCCATAAAATATCTGCATACCTGAATACAATACAAACCCATCTGTTACATCATGACATTCATATGCATATAAACCAGTCTTTTATATCATGTGATTCACACAAATACAAACCCCTCTGTTATAACATGTCATTCATACACACATAAATCTATCTCAGTCATCGTATCATATGTAGCTACGTACACACTTATAAACACATCATACATACACATTTACCAATTCATCTGTTTACCATTGAGATCACATAATTGTGAAACATAGGAGACCTTTGACATTCATGGTACTATGAATACCTGCACATGACCAGACTACTGTAAAATCATTTATTTATGTGGGGGATTTCGTTTTGTTGAAGTTATATAACCATGATACAATAAAACAGACAAAAGTTGAAATTTACTTTGACACATTTTTTACCATAAAATCAAATGCCAATGAAAATGTATATTTTTTGGAAACCACAACATTTGAGCTCCACGAAAAATACATGATTTGAAAATAGTGGTATTTCACTATAATGATCACACACTGAATATTTCTACAACCTGCCTGTGACTAGTTTGTTCAATCAATGACTCATTTTTCAGAAATTACTTTCTATAAGGTATGGCCCGATACCAACCAGGAACATCCATTTGCATACTAGCCAGCTTTTCGGAATATTCACGGGAACATTCGGGTGTTGGGGTTGTTGGATGTGTTCAAAACTTTCCAGTTTCAGAGAAAATTATTTATAAACTTTTCTTTTGACAAACCTATTCCTGAAAACAAAAGGCCTACAAATCCCATTAAAAAAAAAAAAATTTCGAAGATCTACTGACAATTCATGAATGAAAATGAATTTTCCCCTAAAAAGGTACCCTGATGTAGGTTTTCTCCATGTAAAACAGGTTCCCTGATGAAGACTTTCCCGAGGTACTCTTAAAGATGTCCCTAAGTTTATATACACAAGACATGTAGGAACTGGTTTAACTTTATTCAAACCAAAGTTAGCCAGAAAAAGTGAACAAATATGTCTCTCAGTTACTGGTAATCACACATTCCATCCCTAGGCCACAACAGAAACATGCCAGGTAAACTTTAAACATTCATACACAACCGCTGTTATATTTTAAAACTTATACAACATATTAACAGAACAAAACAAAAGTTTCACAGGTAAAGAAGTAATCGCGCTTTTCATGATTTTGACATACTCTAATACATGCATACAAACAAACACAAACTCACATTCTCAATTTAGGTATTTCTAACATATCAAAATATCATTGCTTTATTTATACATAGTAACAAGAACAAAGGTAAGAGTTATGTTACTCTGGACACTATACCTAGTCACAGCCACATAGCCAATAACTGGACACAGGAAGAGAACAATACTATCTAGACCCCAGGTCATAGGTTCACAACACCTCTCCATAAAATGGAACCTAACTACCAACTAGCCATCACACAACAGTACTGCATGGATAAATGGTGGTTTTCAGTGGAGGTGAGTACTGCTAAATAAGATTCCAATGGAATAGGAAATGGTTTAAAGGGTTTGTATTTCTGAGATATGTTGTACGGTTTGTATCTTTAACAGGTGGATTAATGTGGAAAATTTTGTAAATATTTGTAAAATCATGACAAACATCTCTACTTACAAATTCATAAAAAAAAAAAAAAAAGTAAAAATCATATGTATTTGGAAGAGATCAATAATTACCTTGTATAACCTCCAGCAATTATTTATTTCATTTGATGTAGGTTTATGAGGAAGTTAGAATTTAATAAATAGCCAATAACTCAAGTTTTTAAACAAGTAGGACAAATTCACTGCAGCTCTCCATACCACACAGTATAAATACATTAGCTACAAGCATACCCTTACCCTTACTACATCTTTACTGGACAGCTCTCTAAGTACTACACAACTGCATATTATTTATTTTCCTTCTAATAAATATCATATTTTTCACTTTCCTGCTAACAAAACATCTTATAAAACAATTTACTTTTTTACTAAGTTGGATGGTTGTCAATCATATTTCATAATTGGAAAATAAATTAATAAAAACACAAGAATAGTTTAATTATGAAATGCCACTAATGTTGCCAAAAAACGTAAACCATGAAAACAAATCACAAATATGCATCACTTTTTTCAGATAAATTGGAATATTGTGAAAATAAAATGCATTACAGTTACATATATTTGTAACTGGAAACAAAAAAGGTAACAAGATCAGGCCACCAAGGTGAAAACATCCCATAAATTACATGTTTGATACGCTCAACCGCAACTCTCTCTCTGGACTAAAATTCAACTTCTCGGTATTACCTAAGAAGTTTTAAATGATTAATAATCTAATTGGGATGCTAAAGCATATCACTGTTAACCTAAACTAGTTTCCCCTTTGTCCTTTTCTTGTACGACGGCGAGAGTGCATGTTTATGACAACATTCCCCTGAATTGGTGTCACAATGCAGGTTTGCCTTTGTCTTCATGAAACAACTAATTTCTTTGTTCTGCGAAAAACCTGGCATATGGAGATCACTGAATATGTTGAAGGGAGGTACATCCACCCCACTCCCTCTCCTTGAACTGAAGTCTTATCATTATTATCTTGTTTTCTGTAAAGAATGTATTTCATTCTAAAGACTTAGTTAAACTAGAACACATCGCGTGAAATGGTAACATTATGCATGTGATTTTACTTAACAGAGAGAAGTGACTGACAGTACTTTTGATGCAGAACCACACACATACAGACAGAAGTTGACTAGGTAGTTTAGTAACATCAGCAATTCATATGGTAAACACTGACAAGTGATACTATGTGTTATCTATCAGGAATTTTGTCAATAGACAACCGAACATCATGATCCAAAGAAAATCTAACAAAAATCGAAGAAATTGTTTGAATCAGTTTTCTAAACACAATAGAATAGAAGTGCTGTTTTCTCCTTCACAATCTAAACCCAAGATTATAAGTCTACCACATTAAACGTTGTTAATCTATAAGAAATACTAATGACATATAGTCAACAAATGGATAGGATTCTGACCATTGCAAATCTTAGAAAAATCTCAAACCGAATTAGAACTAGAATGAACCATTCACATCAATATTGTTGGTTACAATTTCCAGTTTAATCACTTTTGAAACTATTACTATTATTTCCTTCCTTTTCTCTATCACTAGATAAAATCCTAGACACTTACGACATTCATACACGAGGCAAAGTGCGACCAGAATGACCTGTTCACCTTTTATCATCACATTTAATTACAGTGAAATCAATATTTGTACTAGGGATTATAGGTGAATAATTTGCTCTAGGGGAATGGTCACTATTCCCCCCCCCCCCCGCCCCCTACTGAATAATTTGCTCTAGGGGAATGGTCACTATCCCCCTCCCCCTACTGAATAATTCGCTCTAGGGGAATGGTCCCTATCCCCCCCCCCCCCCACCCCCCCCCCCCCTACCCCCTACTGAATAATTTGCTCTAGGGGAATGGTCACTATCCCCCTCCCCCCACTCCCTACTGAATAATTTACTCTAGGGGAATGGTCACTATCCCTTCCCCCACTGAATAATTTGCTCTAGGGGAATGGTCACTATCCCTCCCCCCACCCCCTACTGAATAATTTGCTCTAGGGGACTGGTCACTATCCCTTGACCCCTACTGTGTTATTACAGGGTGACATCTTTGGGTATAAAAACAGTCTACCTTTTAATGAACCAATGTTTATATCCAATATAGATATTCTTAGTGAAGTCCAGCATAACAGGCCATTCTGGACAACCCATTACCTCTTACACAAGATAACTCCACCATAAGGGATCAGTATACATGAAGGGAGAATTATTGAAAAGCTAGCTGCCTTGTGAATGATTTCTAGTTATATAGATGGTGAGTGTAAACTGTTTTATGGGGAGAATACAATGACTGACATACAGGTACATGATCCAACTAAAGAACAGTTATTGAAACTTATATTTAACATGCTTTAAACAAGCAAGTGTCATATAGATATGGTATGAAAGATTGTATCCTGAAATTAGAAAACTACCTCAAAAACAAGCTTACATATTATTTGGTACATGTATATCTAACAAATGACCTAGAGAATGTCATTAATATTCTTATAATTGTCACATCTTATCAGCCCTGTTCTTCACAGAGAAGAATATCTATACTAGGTGGGAAATGTACTTAATTCAGTTAATGTAGAATTTTCTTTACACCAATTAGAAGTCAAGTCACTAAGTTTTTTATTGGTAAACCGTATGAGAATCCATTGAATGTATTGTATGGCTATAGATATAATCACATATTTGTGGTATTCAGAAATGCCCCTTAATGTTATTTGTGATAGTCACTAATATCCATAGTTTTCTAAGAAATATTGAACAAAAACCTACAGTATCTTCATGAATTGCCTAAATCATTGCTGTTATAGTTACTTTCAGCCTGGTGTTTTCCAAAGATTTGAAAATGAATGTATCCAAGATTCAAATATTTGCAATTAATCTCACTTTTATGATACTACAAATCTACAAGGGAGGATATCTTTACACCTACTGATTACTTTTGAAACTACCAGTAACTAACACGACTGTTCTAGCTTCAGAAATGAAAATCAATGTTAAAGATCCAATGTTCCTCTCTAATGGCGACTTTCTCTGTCCAATAATGAAGGGAAACCACTCTTTTTATCCTGGTCCAACTGTTCTAGTCAGCATGTCGTCTCAGTATCCATGTGGAGTCCTTGACTTGTCTGTAAGAAAGAAAACTTTCATTAGATAATGATTTTGAGCGGCAGTCAATTCCAAAGTGAAAATAACAACAAAACCAACTTTAACATAATTATATTGAATTCTAAATTTATCTTCAAAATTTATCTATCAAAATCAAAGATATCCCAGAGGGATTAAAAAAAGAGATCCCAGAGGGATAAAAAAGAGATCTCTCCAAGAGATAAAAAAAAAGAGATTTCAGAAGGATTCTGGCACACCATCATTTGATCTTGATTTGTTCCTTAAAACCCTTAATTACATGAAATTTAAAAATTCCTCTTAGGAAATAGCCATAATAATCTTTAACTGAAAAATCCAAGATAGTTGTCTGACAGCCATTTTATTTCTAATCACTTCCAAAATCAAAAGGACACAATTAGGGACTAAGAGGAATCTACACAAGAAATTTGAAAAAGATCCATCCTGTACATCTCTAGAAATAGTGATAATAAACTGTCATTGTCAGATGCCATGATGGCTGCCTCTTCGCCATTTTGTTTTCCTCCTCGTTTCCAAAATTAAAAGGACACACCTAGGACCAAGGAGCACATGCATTTGAAATTTGAGATAGACCCATCCTATACTGAGCAAAGAATTTTCTTAGTCAAAATCCAACATGGCTGTCTGTCGGCCAGTTTGTTTTCTGATTTGTCGGAAAAATACAAGACACAACTGGGGACCAAGGGGAACCTGCATATAAAATTTGAGAAAGATCCTTCCAGTTCTTCTCAAGAAATAGCAATAACAAACTTTCTTCGTCAAAATCCATTTTTCTGATAAGTTCCAAAATGAAAGGGGCACACCTAGAATTTTCAATGAAATTTAAGAAAAAATCTATCAAGTATTTCTCAAGAAAAAGCTATAATAAACTATCATTGTAAAAATCCAAGATGGCCGTCTGTTGGCAATTCATTTTTCTACTTTGTCCAAAAAATCAAACGGGTACAACTAGTGACCAAGGCTAACATACAATTAAAATTTGAGAAAGATCCACCAGTACTTTTCAAGAAATGATAACAAAAATTATTTATACACAGACTGACCCCAGACAAAGAGTGATTAGAATAGTCCACTTTCTGATTATAGTTGCCTCAAAGTGATATAACTAACCGACCAAGTTTTACAGCATAGTTGTGATTACTGACTACCATTGTTTTTTTTTTGTCGTTTGTCACATTATCTTGTGAAAGACACATTGCATCTAAATACCACAACATATCAATTTTTTCTCTCCCCAATAAGGACAACATTTACCGTGATACTTGAGTGTGAATGTGACCATCAAGAAGCAAATAAATAATGATTGTTTGTAAATTCTACAAATGGAGCGTTTACGATTGTAAATTTCTAGTATTTTGCTATGAAATTTTCTGGATTACATTGAACCATCAACAAACTCTAGCTGAAGGAACTCTGTTTCATCTATGATGTAACATCCAAATTTAAAAATTTTGTATACAAAGTCAAAGAGTGCATACAAGATGCCTCGATAATGGCAATGTTTCTGTGAACGAACATGCTTTGAGCATGGTATGAAAGACTACTGCAAGATTAAATAGGTACCTCAGTTACATTGCTGCTTGTTAAGTATCAGTGATACCTGTTTACACAAAACTATTCAGAGATAATTTATTTTGCTCATTCTTTCATAGGCTATTGATTGCATAACTTAATTGTGTGTTTCTTTTTCTGTTTAGTGTATTTACTTTAGAAGATAAAATGCCAACTGTTTACAAAAGTTGATGAGAAGCCTTTAACAGCAGTATTGTGAGTCACACTAATTACCTGAATACTGTCCATAAGGTAGAGAAGTGAGGTGTTGGCCGGCTGGAGGATAGGGAGGTACGCTATGTAACATCCCTGGTTGAAGCAGAGCAGACACATATAATATATGTAGTCAGTAAAGCAGTTAGTCAGCAACAGACACAAGAAAATCAGGACTTCAAAATCACAATATATTACAATTTCTTGAATTTTCAATATGAATATCTTGGTATTGAATGTTATTTCTGATCTTGGATGTCAATATCTACATCTATATATATTCTTGAATTTCAAAAATTACTTTTAACAAAATTTTATAGAATGGAAAGATTAAAAGCTAGCTTTGTTTAGTCCTGAATTTCAGCAGTAACATATATATTGTATCGTAAATAAGAATAATTGCCAAAATCTGACACAAGTGCAATTTTTCACAAGGCGAAATCATAAAAACACTTCAAATCAAACATTTCGCTAAAATTCACTAAACAAGGTTGAACTTAAAATATTTTTTCATCACAATTTGTGTTTTTAAAATACACTGTACGATTGTCTTTGCATCAAATGTGTTAGCATAAAAACCAATCAAAATTTTTAAAAAATGTGAACAAGACTTTCCAATTTCTATATTGCACCAGAGTCTGTGTTTGACTTTATTGAGTTATGCCCTTGACATTCACTTACATCACAGCTTTACATACCGTACAACAGGTTTATTTCATGTGCATCTATATTGATAACAATGGCATTGAAATCAATATACATCATCTGTCCTATCTTTTGTAGTTGTATAAAGTACAATGTTTTACATTTATCATATCATATATAACAATTTATAAAAATATTGGATGTTATATTTATACATGCAGCAACAATGACAACTGAATGACGTATAAATCTATTGAAATAACTGCTATCAGTGAGCATGTTAACAGACTTTTGGTGTACAAGTACCACATTGAAATATCATTACGCATGTGCACTAGTGTATCTTGCGATAAGATGGTTGAAACAACCTCCATATTGTTGTGTCTATTACCAATCAGAGGATTACCAATAGTTGGTATAGTGAAAATTATAAGAGTATCATGAAAAAAAAAAAATCACATAAATTAGGTATCACGAAGGTAACCTGTTATATGGTATATAGTAGTTAGATGTGATAATTATAGTACACAGGGAAGTGTTAAATACAGAAAATCTGGTTAGAAATTACTACACATTACACATATTTTCCATGTTCAAATCTTCCATAACTTAATTATGTTTTCCTCGCAGTATGATTGGTTAGATTGGTTATTTTTGTTAGAACAGTTATATCGAAAATAAATTCACAAAAAAAAAAAAAAAAAATAAACAAAAAAAAAATAAAATAAAAAAAGAGAAGAAAAATCTTCCTTTATCCCTGATTATCCCATCAAACTTTAAATAATTCTAGTCAATCTGAAATAATCATCCTAATTTTGATCATTTAAGCAGCCATGGTGTATTCTAGCAGACCACACACACATATCTGGCCTTTAATCTGTGGCTAATGTAGGTACAAAGACCAAAGTTCATAAAAACATGTGTATTATTTCTAAAACAAAAATCAAAGATTGTAAAGATTCAATATTCAATGTCACCTTCATATTTCAATTAGTGAAAATAGCTGAAAATTTCAACGGCAAAAGCGAAGCCATTTACTCCTTTTAAAAACAAGTTAATTGTGCAGTATAGAAGAGTTCAGGAGCATCCCACAACATTCTTAATGGCTGTCTAATTACTATTCTATGAGATTAAATAGTGCTAAGTCAGATCTAGAAGTGCAAATGTCCATCAGAATTTTTATCTTTCAGATTTTACTTACCTGTGGACTGATGTGTTGATGTTTGGTTGGCTAAAGGGTTTTGCTGTTGACCAGTCAGAGGACTTGTTGGTACATTAGGGTAGCTTTTGTGGATACTTGCTGTAATGTAAGGTTTCCAAAACTTTCATATGACATTACAGGCCTGGTCTTATCAATCACAGAGACATATATAGTAAATCCTATCAATTGGGTAATTTTCACGGCGGTCTTCTGAAACTACTGTAATTTTCCTTGCGTCAAAGTTACCTCTATTTGTGATTTCTATTGAAATCTGAAAGTAACCAAGAGCTATCTTAGCCTGTTTCATTCTGACAGATGACCACCAATATGCATTCAAGTAAAGAATATTATAAGGAAACTACTTAGTATGCTGCTAAGTACAGACATTTATTGAGACAAAGTTTGAACTTAAATTTTTAGATCAAATGAAGAAAACTTATCAACAAAAAAAAAAAAAAAAAAAAATAGTGGACTAATAAGTATTCTGAAGTTTCTTCATACCATGAAAATATTTATATTCAACTTAATTGATATCACTTATCCATTATATGTTCCTCAGTATTGAAGTCCTTCAGATGGCAGATGAATTTCCTATTTTGGGATATTGTTGACCACCAGGTTACCTACCTAGGTATGGAGAATCCTGACGTAAGACTTGTTGGACACTCATGTCTTTAGCGAGATTAGACAGTCCCACACTCTGGTAACCTGGCACTGGTTTAGGTAGAGATGTTATTGGACTATAAGCCGGAATGCTGGACATAGAACTATGTTGACCACCAACATTTGACACCATTGAACCCATGCTCCAAATCTTTGGTGACTGGGGTGATTTGGTCTGCTGCGGTTGTTTGTTTTTTTGAGCCCCTGTTGCCATGGACACCTTAAGCTGTTGCTGTGGAGAGGTATGGGACACCTGGCCAGTGGGACTCTGTTTATTACTCTGCTCCCTAGCCTGACCAAATAAGGACTGCAGAAATTCACTCGAAGATTGAATATTGACTCCCTGACCAGAACTAGCATTACTGTAGTTTTGTTGTCCACTGACCTGTCCAGTCGTGATTGACCCTTGGCCTCTGGGCTGTGACCTTTGGGATGAGGACACAGAAGTTGGAGATACCCGATTGGATGTTATAGATTTAGTTTCCTGAGAAGAAACTGGTGACTTTGAATGCACTGCAATGATTTTGCGAGGAGCACCATTAGAAGCTCCCATTTTGATAACTTTCGTCAAAGTCTTGGATTGTGTATTTTTTGTGGTAGATACAGTCACAGGTACTACCTTAGCACTGTTGTATTTCTGACCTGCTACACTGGATGTTGTTAATGGTTTATTACTGACAGGTGAAGTTTTAGCAGCCTGAGATAAGGATTTGCCGCTCTCAGCTTCCATCAACTGTCTATACACTTCGTCGTTGATGAGGGATCGTTGAAGTGCTATCGTGGCTGAAGTCTGCTGCCCTAAGGTCAGACCCTGGGGCTTTGTGTGGGTTGTGTGAGAGGCAATAGCAGATTGAAGGGCTGCCTTCTGTTGGGAATTGAGAGATGTACCAACAGAGAGAGATGCTTTCTGTTGTGGGGTGCCAGTAGGCCGAGCAGACATGGCGGCCTTCTGCTGGGCTGTTAGGGAGTATTGATTAGGACCAGATTTAGCTGTACTTGACGGCTGACTCTGATGAGCTGGTGCAGGGGACGATTTATCTTGTCTCTGAGAGGCAGCTATTTGTATTTTCTGTACAAGTTGTTTTTGTTGATGTGTTAAATTTGAGCGCTGTTGCTGCTGTAACTGTTGTTTTTGTGGTGATGTAGTATTACTTTTACTACTTACATCACCTTCCTTTAATTTTGGAGAGAACACTTCACTGGCATATTTTTGATATTGAGCAAGAAATCCTGCACTACTACCACTTAAGTCTTGGCCCTGACCGGCTCCAGTGACCTTGACCTTTGAATCAGGAGATACCACTGATTTGTCAGCATCTCTTGAAGATGGTGAAGGAATGAAAGAGGACTTCAAAATGTCTGACACAACGTGATCCCATGAACGTTCCTGAGGCATATCCAAAGAGCGAGCACTTGCAGCAGAATCAGCCAACAAGGACAGACCAGGACTAGCTGAAAACGGCAGAGAACTGGAATTAGGAGTTCCTGAGGTGTTAACACCCGATTTCTTATTTACAGAAGGTGTTGTTAAGGTTGGTGTTGTATTATTACTTAGTGTCCTTCCACTACTGAAGTCCAACACGCTGGAAGATGATGAGGTATTAGGTAACAAAACTGAACTACTATCCCTTGGTCGACTAGGTGTGGCATCAATTGTCCCATTTCCAGTAGATGTAACAGATTTAGTTGTGGCCTGAGAGTTTGTTGGTGTGTTGGATGCTGACCCAGGCATGGATTTGGTTATTATCACAGTCTTTTTGGGTTTTTGTCTGGAAGGTGAAAATAAACAGTCAATTACTTTCTTACAGTGTTTTTTCTTTTTCAATTTGATGCTTCAAGCTTAACATTTTGACATTGCAACATTATGCTGTTTAGAAATATAAAGATATACAATAAATATTATAATCTTATATAAGAATACATGGACTTTGATGAAGCATATTGAGTATTGATAGAGTAACACATGTATCCTACCAGCCCCTACAAACAACACACATTATAAGGTAGTAAAGTTTGATGAGAATTCCTCAAAAAATGAAATTGCTTGAGCTCTGACAATGATTTTCTCAAAAGAGTAACAGTGACCTTGAACCAACAACCATGTATTTTGAACTTGTCCAACATATTATTGTTGTTTGTAAGGGTGTGAGGTTTGTAAAAATCCTGTGAAGAATAAAGCTGCTAGGAGGTTGACCCAACAATACTGAATCTCTAACATGTTGAAGATATTTTGGTGCGTTATAGTCCTTTGTAAAATGTGTAGAGCACAGATATTTGGTGCTGCATATATAAATAGAGGAAAACTATAGTTTCTACTTAGGTTTCACAGGAAGGGGACTAATAAATGTGAACAAATAAGTTTTGAGCTGATTTTAAAATAACACAGAAAAAACACATCTGATGAAGTCTTTTTTGGAAGGATTATCTCCCCTTTGTAAACTACAAATGAATATATAAAAGAAAATCTCTTAACACAATTTTCTTCAGATTTGTCCTGCACGAGAACAAATATAAAATACAAATAGATATGTATCTTCAGGTATTTGGCATTAAAGAACAGACAAACAGGATTGCCTCAGATGTTATGTGAAATGATAACAAAGTCCGTTTTACACTGTTCAGACTAAATTCGACCATGGTAGCTACTGAAGAGAATCATAGTGATGTGTAACAGTGGGAAGAACAAGTAAGTGAATTTTCATGCTTTCACATCATATCATGTTTTGGTTTGTTTACATTAAGGCCAAAGATAACAGATAATACATATAGACTGTTCCATTGTATTCAGGAGGGTAGGAGATACTTACGGATTAGTCCAACTTGAATGTACGGATCTGCTCTCCTTAAACAACATCCTGGTAAAAAGTTCATATTAATGACAGAAACTTGTTATACAGACTACATTGCTATGTGAGATATAGTGCTTATTCAGAATTTATTTCCTTTTGATAGGACTTGTTTTGTATTTTCTTAAAAAGTTATATTTCTTAAATTATGATGGTCTGAAGCCATATCAAATATATCATAATATTTGACAAAAATATTAAATTTCAATAATATCATTTTGTTTCCCCGCCAATAGACAAAGTCTCTTTATAAATACTTGCCTTGTCTGCATCCAACCTTTCGGCCAGATTGGCTTTACTTCATTCTCCAGAAAGGACTTAAGGTATTCTTCATTGGTTTCTGTCTTGTTCTTGGCTAGCTCACACAGCTTCATCTTGCACCTCACCACATCACATAGGAGCACTCTGATAAACAACAATCAGGTTATATACAAAAACTAGGGGAGATAACTGAGTATCTTGCACCTCACCACATCACAATCAGGTTATATACAAAAACTAAGGGAGATAACTGAGTATCTTGCACCTCACCACATCACATAGGAGCACTCTGATAAACAACAATCAGGTTATATACAAAAACTAGGGGAGATAACGGAGTATCTTGACCTCACCACATCACAATCAGGTTATATACAAAAACTAGGGGAGATAACTGAGTATCTTGCACCTCACCACATCACAAAGGAGCACTCTGACAAACAACAATCAGGTTATATATTATTACTAGGAGAGATAACTGAATAACTTACACCTTACATCACAAGGTAGCATGACAAACAATTATGCTTATACTTCTATCACACATGTGCTACAATTAAAGGAGGTTACTTGAACTAGGTTTTCCCACTCTTATTTGAACCTTGATCACATTCAAAGATGCATGTTTAAGTCATATTCCGGTATTTTAACATGATTAAATTAAGAATAAACCTAAAAACTTCAGTTTTATTTCCTGATGATAATGACATTATTTGCTATACACTGTGAATTGTTTAATATCACATAGCTGTATTATATATAGTATCACCAACCTTAAATCTTCTGTCCACTCAAATTTTTTCCGTGGCCCATTTACTCGTTTCTTTCCTCCAGTGGCCTCTGGACCTTTTTCCTCATCGCTGTCATCACTGTTATTTTTCTCTTTTTCTTCTTTGTCTTTTTCTTTTTCACCTTCTTTGTTTCCTTCAGCAGCTTCTGCTTCTTTCCTTGTGGTGATAAAAAGTTTCATTTTGCATTTATAGACAAAATGTGATGGTAAACAAAAATACTTACAGAGGTCTTTTTTGGACTTGTGACAAATGAAGGTGTGATCCTTATATTGTATAGGTATTAGATTTTGTAAAATAAGAATTCCTGTGTATAACGTACTCACAAGTGTTTGATTTCACTAATCACATTATGCATACAAGTATTTATGATCCCATTGTGAAGAGTTCCAAGTGTCAGATATGCACGCCAACAAAAATGCAAACAGGCAAGTATATAAAGTACATTTTCTTTAAACAAGTGGGTTGCTTTTAATAAAGTTTCATTACAATATTAGTGAGTATGACTTGTGTGAGCTATATAACAGTAAATATCCCATGTAAATATGTTGCCACCTATATGGCTTACTTCTGAAGTATCATTACAATATTAGTGAGTATGACTTGTGTGAGCTATATAACAGTAAATATCCCATGTAAATATGTTGCCACCTGTATGGCTTACTTTTGAAGGCTCCACTTCTGGTACTCAGCTTCATGTTTCTCCTGCATAGAAGGCATCATGGCATTGACAGCTAAAAAGCAAAAACATACCTCACTCACCAAAAAATAAAAAAAAAACATCTCAAGAAAGGTAAAACTTAAATACAAACATAAAATACAAATTGAAAACTATGTCCCTTTCACTCCATGTCACATTTTGGTGTGGTTGGAACATTTCAATATTTTTCTTACATTTTGTGTAAGACTTACTTCACAATTTCTTATCGATATAAATTTTGAGAGAAATCAACATCTAATGTTGTCCTGTGATAGCGGCACTGGCCATAGGTTGGTGGTTTCTCTGTACTAACTTTTGATTCCCCCACCACCTACCCAAACCTAGCACATCCTTAAATGACTGTTGATAGGATGTAAAGCAACATTAACCCAAACTAAACTGATCCTGTAATATGGGTTCCAGTTGATGTAATTGATCAACCTTGTTGTTTATCTTCTTTTTGGTAATTTGGTTATTACTGTAGTTAATGTATTTATGAGTGGGAACTTTGAGTGATGGTTTTAGTTAAGAAGTGACAGGCAATAAAGATTGAATGTTATTCATGTGAATTTGATATACCACATATAAGCCCAGGGCTCTCGATCTGCCAGATTTGGGGTCGAATACCCAATGCAAAATAGTATCTTTTTTCCCCAAGTTTTCCCAATTCTAAGGAAAATACCATTATTTTTCCCAATTCTAAGGGTCCCAGTCCCAAAATGGGGTGAGAGAGCCCTGAAGCCGCATTGGTCTATAAGCCGCACACCCGGCTTATGAAGAAAAAATGGTGGCGTATAACCCGAACAATAAGGTAATTATATTGTAAAGCTGGGACACAGATGAATGGCCTTTATTATTGAACTACAAATCAATCTCACCATCCCTGAGTTTCTGTAGAGGCTCCCTAACCACATCATCTTGTTGGTTGATACGCAGCTTCTTGGCACGTTTCTGGAGAGTCTCTTTCCCACATGGAAGGAAAGAGGCCAGATGAGCGTAGATGGTTGTCCGATGACCACACGGTAACTGACGGCAATGTAACTCCACTCTGAATACAATCATACAAAGATGAACATATTTAAAAGGCAACAAAAATTCATGTGCTCAAAGTCATTCACTTATTGCTTAGAACTACACTGGCAATATTTTTCAAACAGAAAACAAATTATTTATATAAATAAGAAAAGAAAACCACTTACCACGGTTTTTTTTAAAATCCATATTGTATTTTTAATTTTGAGATAAATGTGCACAACAGGTGGTTTGTTAAATTCATATTTATGACTAGGTTCTATAAAATAATTGCTTTTTGTTGATTTCAGAGTTATTTTGTATCCATGAAATACATCCACAAATTAGGATCATAAACTGTAAGAACTGACGTAAATCTTCAGCATCAACAAAATAAGTACTGCATTTAGGTATGAAATCAAATGCAAATGAAATAATTTTTTTTTGAAAAACTATTAGGAAATCTGAGCTCCACAAGCCAAGCCACAGTAAACCTAAATGATAAATGGGTTTCCCTCCAATAGACATAAGATTGTACTTCATGACAATGGTAGACAGAAATATACAATACATGGGAGACAGAAAACTATTTGGAATAAATTGTTTTGCTATTTAATTAAAACTGCTATAGAAATGTTTTATAATGAATGACTCAAACATGAAATATTCTTTCAATTTACTTTTTAATACATGTAGTAATAAAAATAAATGTACAATTAAAGTTGTCAAACATAACATTCAAAAATGTACAAAATTGAAAATCATATATCAGCGGGGATTCCCTTACCCTCATGGTAAGGAATGTCAAATATTATTCATGAAAAATGTTGAAAATAATAACTGACGCTAAGCAACATGAAATACAGACGTAGCTATCTCTGCAGTTAATACCTAGACAAAACAAGTGATAAACATATAACCAAGGACTGGGTAGAAATAACAACATATAACAGATTCACAAAATAAACAAGAAAATTGAGATCACCTAATTAAATGAAACTTACAACTAGGTATAAAATCTCTGAGTCTAAATTCATGAGGTGCGTATTATATACAGGAACATGCCATTCTTGGGGTTATCATTCTCAAGTTCTCTGTCCGCCATATTGGATTACCTCCCTTCACATAAGTATATTTAGAGTCGTTGGTCATATATATAGTAGATTGAAGATAAAAAAGCAAAGAACAAAATAAATTTCGAATGTTTTAATGCAATTCATTATTTGTACTTCTATTCAAATTATCAATATAATTCTATGGCTGGCACCTCTAAACAAATCTGAAGTCCCTGGGAGAAAATCAATTTTTTTTAAACCATTGTTATTGCTTTGTATAGGAAAAAAAGTCTAATCAGAGTAAAAAGTAATGTGCTGACCACCTGGCCTTATTGCAGGATAAATATTGTATTATAAAAATGGTACTCACTTCAATAACATGGAGTTGACATCAGTTGAGAAGAATTTACACTTGCCGTCCTGGGAGTGTTTAGCAGCCTAAACAGAAAGAAAATTGGTTATACACAGAACCAGTTCCCTGTGCATACTATTCTGTATTACATTTTACATGAAATTAACTCAGCTTTTAAAGAACTGAAGAGACATGTGATTTTTGTCTCTTCATTTCACAAAAATATTAATTGTGAGGATCTTTGCTGAACTGAACATGATTTCATCTGACATATCAAACAGAACAACCAGCCTTCAGGAGACCACTGATCTAAACTTGAAATTAAATCTGATCCATCTTTTTAAAGTCTTATAAAAATGACCTTTGTCATAAAAACCAAATTTCAATATATTTCACTCTAAGCTTTAAATCCAGAGAAAATAATCAATGTTAATTAAAATATTTGGATATTAATGAGAATTACAATTTCTTAATTATAATAAACATTTTCCTATTGTAATGATCTGAATTTCTTACCAGATATCACAAAGCTTTACCAATCTTTTGACAAATAGGTGAAAATATACATTTAAGAAAAATGTTAGCTAGACATTATTGTATTGTTTACTACCTGACAAAGGGAATCTAAATGTGAGAGTTGAAAAAAATCCAGAGATACAACAATGAATCACAGCTCTTTAAAGCTTGGACAATAAGTTTGTTTTATTTTTGTGATTAGTCCCATAATTCAGTGAGCATATGTATAGCTAAGTACTATGAGGACCCTGCATGTAAAATTGGAAAAACCAAGTTGCCAATATTTTGTTGCAAAATATGTTATTCATAATGAGGGGCCATAAACAACATTTTAGGAATAATTTGGGAAGAGAAATTTCCTCCATCTTACAAACAGTGCTTAAAACAAATTTTAACTCTCAAAATCAATCCCAAAATATATATGTTCATAACTAGGCACCAAAATAAGCAAAAGACATCCATGAAAAAAGTAATTCTGGATAATATCTTAAGTTTAAAAAATGCAAATTGTTTAAATTCTCTGGCAAAATATTCATAAATTTGTTACAAAAGAAACACTGCCCTATTTCCATGAAGTCAAATTAGATAAGTCTGAAAATAGAGATAAGAAAAATAATGTAGCTTGGGAAATATTAAACAGGAGTTTGTATTACTTAGTCTAATCATAGTCATCTATTGGTTTGATATAGGGAGATTAAAACATTTTGTAGATCCAGATGATGGTCAGTAGTGGTTGGAGTCAGTAGGTGATTGATGACATGAATTTGACTATATGAAATGTTTACCTCTTTTAACTTTTCAATGGTGTCCATAAGCTGCTGTGGAATTCCTGAGGGAAGTTTAGGAATTTGTGCAGGATCAACAGTTTTTGTTTCGCCTGCCTCCCTACTGTTAGAATCTTCCTTATTGTTAGCGGGTGTGTTTTCAACAGGCATTTTGTCAGATTTCCCGTCTTGTGAAGAATCATAACTTTCCTGACTGTCGGAGTTGAGATCATTAGAGACGGAGGTAGGTGTAGCAGTGGACTCAGTCTGTTGCTTCAGCAGTTCACCAACAGTAGGGGAAAACTTCTTCCTGTATTTCAACAACACAACATATGCAATAATAATATTCCTTTTTTTCTTTTAAATGAAATATTGAAACTATATTTATGAGCTTATTTATGAATTATGTAATCTGTAACAGAATACATAAACTTGATACAATATATATACAGTCTACTCTTTTTTACGTTGCATTTATCCTGTATATAAACCCAGGGGGTTGGGCAACTTGTGACTGAAGTTCAAGATTAGGTATATTATAAGCCAATGAACAACTCGCAACTCTGTTAAACCAATGAACTCAATGTCAGATAAATATGGTATTATGAAAGTGTGTTATAAAATGGTTAACTAGATCTGGTTCAGTCAACAATAATATCTAAGTAGATTCATACTTTTTCAATTTCTCTTTTTCCTCTGGTTTCTTTGGTTTCTTGAATGACTTTTCTCCACCTTCTCCATTCATCAGCTTTTTCTTCTTCTTTTTCTTTTCTTCACCCTCTACCCCCTCTTTTAATTTTCGCTTCTGAAATATTACCAATTGGTTTCCATAGACAATTCTTTTCGAAAAATAGAAAAAATAGGTTCTTTCTATTCGCCTGAGTTAATGTAGAGATTGTTCAGTTAATGTAGAGATTGTTCAAATTTACAGATAGAAAAACTGACAATTGATGTAAGGCACAGAGAATAAGAACAGATTATGCTAAGAAAAATATGAATATCTCCTCATTTGAAGATGTTGAACCTGTTTATTTCCTAGAATTTCTCCCCTACACCCTGCCTGTTATTAATGGTAAAGTTTAATTATTCTTATTTCAAAAGCTTTTCGATCCGAAGACATCACTTTTATTGTATGGTCACATTTGTGAATCCTGTAACATTAATTGATCCCTAATTTTCAATACCTAGCTGAAAAAGCATTGTTTACATAGGTAACAGAAATCATACACAGCAATAACCCTTATACTAGTAATTTGAAATAAATGTACTTATTTTACAGTTGCAGCAAGCTTTGAGTTATGCCACAACTATACAGTTGATTTTATGTAATAATCATTCCTACCTTCACCTTTACTACCACTTTTTTGTTTTCTTTTGCCTTCTCTTCCTTTTCAGAGTCAGAATCGGAGGCGATTACCTGTCAACACAAAATCATATTCAAAGGTAAAAACAAAACATGACAGCACATCAGAGTAAGAAGAAACGATAGGTTCCAAATAATGATAATAAATGTAACTAAGATTAAAGTGTTAAATCTGTAAAATTCATACGACAACCACCCTGACTTTGATTCTTTTTGCAAATTTGTTGATAAAAAGTGTTTCTTTTGGCCTGTTGAATTTGTGACGAAACTCTGGTCGTTCTACCTGCTTCTTTCTCTTTTTCTGAAGTGGAGTTGACTTTTGAAAAGCATCCATAGAGTCATCCGATAGTTCTCTGAATTCAAGCTTTCCAGAATTGATATAGAATCCACCAAGACGTGTAGTCAGTGTCGAAGGCACTAACTCATCATACTGAAAAATCAAAATAAATTGTTTTCGTACATCAAATTCCTTGGATGTTTAGGAATATATTGAATCCGAGTCATTATAGAAAATAGAGTAGACAACAATGTATTATCCCCTCCTCCCCTCAATGGATATTTTCCATATTATCAAAAATTAAAACTGAATCATCATCATTATCATCTGAGAAACACGAAGCAGAGAACCAGAAGAAATTTAGTCAAACTGCAATAAAAGTAACAAAGCAATGTGGCAAATAGCAGTTCTCCACTAAATGTGAAATAATATGGCTAGAATGTACTGTAAGTGAACCCATGCCCTAAGCAGTTTCAATGACCAGCATTGTAGGTGATAAGAGACGATACAGAAAGATAATAGAATGATGGATAGACAGATAATGGAATGATGGATAGACAGACAGATACATAAGAAAACTGTAGTCAAATGTCTATAAGTCTTACGGCTTCAGAGTTGTCTATAAAAGGATCATTTTCATCGTATCCTTCTCCGAGGTCAATCATCTCCATCATTGGTTTCTTCTTTTTCTTTCCCGGTTTAGGACCCTGGAAATACAACCAAAGAAAACATATTCAAACATTTGGTCTTTACCTAAATCATTTCTCAAACTTTATAAATGAAGTGTAATCATCAAAGGTAAAGATCCAAGCTTGATCACAACTGAGCAATAATAACTTAAACCAAGATGAGATGGAGAAACGAACCCGTTTGAAATAAATGAAGAAAAGTGGAGATTTCAAAAAACATTTTATAGAGGGATTAGATCGAGGGTTATATGATAGCGTTGAGGTTAGATTGACATAATTTTTATGATGACATAATTGGAAAATATCTAAAGTAAAGAAATTCTAATTAGTCTTACTTTTGGTAAAATTTTGCTATATTCTATGGGAAATTTCCCCATGTTTTGAGTATATCTTTAATGGGGAATGTGTTTTTATTGGAGAATACCATCATTTTCTTGTACAGGTAGAGAAAACAATATTGAAGAACCAACACATTAGGTCTCAGATTGAGGCTTGTACATGTAGTTAAATTAGTCTAGATTAATTCCGTAGAGATACAAATGAAGGCACTTTTTAGTGGTGTAACAATATTGTAACACGTATTGACATCAGTAAGCAAATTTTCTACTTCAATCCATACACAACACAGCCAGACAACAGTAAGATGCTGCAAAATACTCATTTAAAGTTTAATGAACACTCCTGATATTATTTCCCAGGAAAAAACTATTAACATTGTGACATACCGGTCCTAATGGACACTGGACACACATAATGAACAGCTTAGTAAATAATTTTCACTTTTTAAGAGTGATTGTGATCTATTAATCAATTTGCTTCTTATTTAGAATCCAAATTTATCTGGTTTTTTTTAATCTTCAAGTAAAGGTGTAGAAAGTTAGGGAGATGTTTGTGTGTGTTTTTTTTACATTTCCTTTTGTTCCCTATGGTTGAAAACTTATTTCAGTGTCATGGGTCTTCCAACGATCACACTTAGATTATGTATTGTATCACAACACCTGTCTTGCAACACCTATCTTATCAGGAGTTGGCCGGCGATACACAGGCTATTAATTTCTAACTTCAAAGGGACAAATACTGTTGACAATCTTCCTAAAGTGGTTATTACTTTAGGACAAGTACATGCCATCTGTAATTTTTCTGATTCTTAAAAACCTACATGTTGACTCATTAACTTCACAAAGGACCTTCAGAAAGTGTAAATTTTTACTCTATATCATATGTGATTTGAGTCCATGGGTCTTACATCTATAACAATAATGGGCTAAAACATTTATGCCATGTGATTTCATCCCCACTCCCCACTCCCTCCTTGGACAAATCAAAATGGCTTTCAATAAGTCTTCAGGTTCAATATCACAAGGGTACAATTGATTTCAAGTCATGCATTACCTTGTGCAATAAATATTACATGAACCAGCAGGTGTAATACTACCATTGTGATATAATTTGTGTCATCATTATCAAATTAAGATTAATCTGTTGTGTAGGAAAATTTTCTACTTAATATGAGATATGTGATAAGCAGAATCTTATACTTTCTGTAACACATACATATTTCTCCTCAAACTGGCGGGCAATGGCTGCCACCTCATCTGGATCATCTTCGTCTCCGAATGGTCCAGACAAGTCATTCTTTGGTTTGTCGGCGTTCTCTTCAACTGACTTGGTACTATCCTTCCGCACTCCATTCTTAGCAGACTGTGGAACAAAAGAAATCCATGATTAAGTGATAGTGGACACGTCCAATGAAAGATTCCATAGGAGAAAAGGCTTCTTCATTTAATTTTTATTGATTCTGGTGAGCAAATGTACAAGGATGTCCCAAATTAACGCCAATGAAAATAAACATTTTTTGAAGACGGAGTTCAAAAGTTTAACTGTGGAGAAAGAGGGAAAAAATTTTGTCTCTCCATTAGATCATTGACTATTGTAAAGACAATAAAAAAATCAAATAAAAGAGTAATTTGGCCTTGTAGGCAAAATTGTATGTAATTCAAGTTAGAACAAGTACATCATCATGCAAGTTTTTAAACAAATCCAGAACTTATCATTAATAAGTGCAGAAAGGTTATCAATCCTGTTGCTCTGTATATGTAAGTATGTCTACTGTTACAAAACAGCTACATCCATTTCATTTCAATTCATTTGTCCAACAGTTCTTAAATATCTGAAGGATACCAATTTTTTTTTTGTCTTTAATAATTCTGATGTGCCTGTTTAAGTCCGCAAGAAAAGTCATTACATTACCACTGAAAGCTGATGATCAGCTTTGAAGCATCACTATATCTGATATCTAATATTATATTTTTCTAGTGTTTTTGAGGAGGTCTGGGGTTATAGTTTTCAGTATAATGAAATTTTTTATATACATATGTACAGATCCACAACTCCATAATGTTAGTTTTTTTTTTCTGTTTCTGGGACAAGCCTGGCCATTATATGCTTCATCTAAACAACAAAATAAGTACTGCAATCATTTCATATTACTTCTAAAACAATGTTACAATCCAACAATGTATCACTTTGTTAGTCAAATACTTCATATAGTATCTTTTTTGTTTGTTAAAGAAACAAATCAAATTATCAATGGATTTTCAACAGCATAAAAGAATACAGCTTGACCTTACAAATTTTTTCCTCTATAAAATGTATTACTTTTCATTATATTAGTAATAATTTGAACTGTAAATAGCCCACCTATACACAGTACTAGTGTATATATGTAACTCTCAGCATGTCTCACCATTCACTTTTTTTCACAATATTCACAGTGTTATAAATAATTTCCCAATAAATAGATTCCAAAGATGATCCGACTTTTCTTTCATCATATTCGTCATTCAAAACAGGTGTTCCTGTGGTCTTTCAATGATGAAATAGCTGAGTAATCCTTTCCCTGTTAAACCGTATCATATGGACACCATAGAGAGTTTTTGTAACAGTTTTCAAATCTAAGATCACAGACTGTGAAAGACTATGTAATATGAATCAAAATATTAAAATTAACCTTTTAATCGAGCAAATGTGTGAAGAAAAAAAATACTGATGATATCTATTTGATCAAAACAAAACTTAATTCTGTCCATTTGTATTACTTTAAGATCCGAATTTACTTTTTGTGAAGTCAGTTAATTTGGTTCAGTAAATCTGATTAAACATTGCTACAAGCCGAGGTACTTTTAAACATCAGTAGTCTTAAAACATTATACTCACAATTCTTTTCGACCATTTTGCAAAGGATTGTGCATTTTGTGAAGGATTGATCAATTCCATATTTATCAGTAACATTTACAGTCAAGCTGCAACACCCCTTCCTTGCACGCCCACAATTTAAAATGGCTAAATCTACGCTGTCACATGCTATAAATTGATTAATACTTCAGCTATCAGAAGATTTCTTCCTCAGTTCAGAACACATTTTCACCAAATCGTCTTAAATCTGTTTTGAGGTGACTTATACTTGTATATTGAAATTGTACACAAAATTTACAGAGTCAGAAAGTTGGTCAATCAGTGGGGCACTACGCTGCACAATTTACATGGATATACTTGAGAAATACCACTATTGCATACGTTACCTACAACATGGTAATCCACCTCCAAAAATCAAGATTGTTAAAGCAAAATTCATAGGAAAGAAAAGAAATTGTGCTAAAATTCTGTATCATTTTCACTAATTCTGTGCATTTCAAACATAAACTGCTGTATAGTGGTCATCATATTTTTCTCTTTTCATCTCTCAACAAACAGAATAAAATCCTTATTTATATCTACGTTTTTTTTACTGATGTAAATGATAGGTCCATCACGAAAAAAGATGTCAGAAGGGAAAAATTCTTGTACCGCACGTGTATGTACGCGTATTCATGCACGTGAATGTTCGCGCACGCCGCTGCGCGCACACACGCGATGACTTACACACCCCGGGGCCGGGGTGTAGCAGCGAGAACAAAAGCCCGCCCCGACAAGTCACACTGTAGTGTACGGCTGACCGACGACTCCACCGCTTACAAACGTGACGCCACCCCCAGCCAATACACACACAATCAACATACCGCCCAACTTGCCTCACTTATTCGTCAGTATATCACCCGAACGTCGACTGAATAAAAAAGAATCAATATCTGATAATTTGATTACACCCTAAACATCTACCTATGTGCAGAACACGACAAAGGCGACAGCTATGCACATTTTCGTCTGCTGTCGCTCACCGGTCGTGTATCAATACACCATCACCTTTATCAGTCTTGACCCACTTTCCGATCCGGAACAGATTGCGCACGCGCTCTCCAGAAATATTTTACAAAGTCATCTTTTCCAAATACAACATAAAAATCACCTTTCCAATCTAAACTAAACTAATCTGCTTAGCTAATACATTAGGTCCTACCTATCGTCTTATCAAACTTCATTATCTCCGATAATCAACGTCCTAGTAAGTACCTGAGTGACGTCATAGGTCAATTATTAATCGCATTTCACATGTTTTTACTTCTATATAATTTTGTTAGATTTCACTATGCCTCCTCCACCACCCAAATTTTCCCCATCACGGTTTTGATGCTGGTAACCTAGCACTTATCATGTCAACACACAATGTCGACGTAACAAACTTTTGCTGTATAAACATAGAAAATGCAGATATTACAAATCAATATCATCGTACTGTGAGGTAAATAAAATTACAAAGGTCATTCAGAGTGTGTTCTATTATATTCTTAGTGTTTGCAAATATAATCACCCTTCTCCAAAACTTCTAACAATCTATGGAAATGTTCATAGGGAGTACCAACCAATCGGAACTGAGAGCTCTGTTCTGGTCGAGGGGGAATGTGCAGGATTGGGATATAAATAAATGTGTCACGTTAGCATCTAACATGGAAGACGAAGCAAACACAAGTAGATAAACCAATATGGCCAGGAAATAACTGTTCATCCGTACTATAATGTCAGTGCATTTTAACACAAAAATCATGCGAAACCCAACTTTTGCATTCAGCGAAACCAAGCTAACAAACGATGATCCGACATGTCGGATTTGGAGACACCGAGCAAGTTATTATAAGGGATTGGGGAATGTAATGAAAGACGATTTCATAGCACAAATGTTCAAAATGGCGTACAGGCAAGGTCTGGCTATATTGTAGGCAATTCGAGAACATTAGACTGACGTAGTTCAGCCATTTTCTGAGCTTTTACACTGACGAAGAAGGAAGGGGTGATGAAAAACAAACCGCTTTCTAGTGGGAATCCCCGAAAATAAAACTACATTGAACATTGCTTTTAACAGCTAAAAAGTACTTTAATTTGAATAAACGGGTTAAAATTGAATTAAAGTTTATTTTCCATGCGGTTTTTTAACGTTTTCATAACTTACCGAGTGCTTTTTCAGTAATTCTGTGTAAGAAAACTCCGAGCATGTTTCGTCCGTGGATTCTTTGAGAGATAGCACAAAACGTGCAGTACACACAGTGTTTTCCGAGTTTGTAGTCTCTTTCTTATTATCCAAAGTGGTAAATTGTAATCTCCTGGGTTCCGCCATCCTTCCAAATTAAAAGATCCATTGATATATAAGTGAAACCGATGAGAAATATTTCAATCTTTTGACGAAGCTGGCGAATTGAACCGCCATTTTCTCGATGTGTGACGTCACGAAATCACGACCTTCTGTCCGGAAGCGGCCATAAAGCACCTTTGGGTGAACCAAGATGAAATAATTTCTTTTTCACAGTTTCTGAATATTATAATATGTATTATTTAGGTGCATCAAATAATAAGTAATACAAATAATATTAGTAACAGGAAGTTATGTTTCAAATACATAATAATTAATGGGGAAAACCCATTTGTTACATGGTTGATTTACATTTTACTTTGGTATATTCCGAATTCATAAGGAATCCCCCTTCTAAAAATAGACACAACATGCCCCAAACGAAGCTATTTTTACAGTAATAGTAAGCAATGCGAATAGTTTATTTACAAATACGTAAACATGTGAATTGTACTGTAGCAAACTCCATTGTGCTTCCATTTCATTTATAACATATTTTCAATGCAAAGTGGAATATTTATTTCTAGGATAGTTTTTGCTTAATTTTAACTTATTAAAAAATACTAGCACTTTTATACTGATATCATAAGATCTTGCCAACTTCCATTGGTACTTTTCAGGAATGTTATTCCAACTACTATGCGATTTCTTTTTTCTACAAATAAAAACTATTAAATATGGATGCAAAGTTGTTGTCAAGCAGTCTTAAAACTTCTGGTTTTATAAAGTGCAAATTAAATTAACCTTCTCCATTTCAAAGTAGATATTTGCAGGTAACAACCCTTGTAATAATACTTCATTTATTAATTAAAATACAACTGATGCAGGGATGTTTTCTTCCACATTCCCCAAACCTCCATTTCGTCAGCAGTTGTTTTATGATAATACTAATCCTGCTGTATCTTGCTGTGTGTTGTAAGAGGTATAATTGTCAGGCACCCTGTACAGGTCAGATGTGGTTTCTCTGATGTCTTCTGCTAAAGGGACATTGGAAGTCGTCACAGTCTGCAGTATACGACCGCATGGTTTTAAGAGCTGACTAAATATGGAATTAGAGCCTTTTCTGTATTCTCTGGCAAGGGTACATTGAAGAGGCCTCAAATACTGCTCCATTTGCAATACTGGGGATCTTGATTTTTCCTGTCTGCTCTTTCTTTCTTTCTGTGCTTTGACACATATATGACCCTGGTTTTTTCAAGGATGTTAAATCCCATAAAAAACATATCTTTGTTGATGAAATGGAAAGGTGTGGTTGGATATATAGCTATGTAAAGTCGAAATTCACTGTTGTATATATTTTTACTATTTATTTTCACCTAATATTATGGAGGTACACAAATGTTTTTGTATGTTGCACATAGTTGCCTGAATTGGACATTGGCTACATGGCATCATAGCCAGTCAATATAAATTTTGGTATGTACAACTACTTCATTCACCAGATTAATAAAGGGTACTTACAAGTGCATACTGTCCGAGAATATGATGTGGACGATTCTCAATGTTAGAGATCTTTATAAATCTTGTACGTAGTTAATTATATGGTTATGTTGAGTAAAGTCTGCAGTCATATCAGCTTACATTATCTCCTGGTCCAGTCTTAGTTCACTAGTACATGCATGTAAAGGATATTTCTTCAATAGCAAATCTTTTGTGTTTTCAAATTTGACAGAAGAAATTATATTATATCGGGTATATCAACTTCTATATCTCGCTTCAGTTGGCAAATCTGATTATCAGTACTGCAGTGTGTATTGTAAAGTCTCAATAATCAAACCAAATGGTAGAAAGAGTAACATGCATTATATTGATAAAGCAAATTCCTTTTCTCCCACACTTGTCTGTGGGTAAGGTTTGTTATACTTTTGAGTATTATATTCATAGACTCCTAATTCCTACTGACTCAAACGTTTTGTTGAATATAGTAGACACAGTGGTAACGCACTCTACTTTCACCTAACTGACCGGGTTTCGATTCCTGGAACACGTGAAAAGGTAAGGGGTCACCTGCTCGGCCACGTGGGTTTTCCCCGGGTACTCCGGTTTCCTCCCACAATAAGACCCCTTGCGCGCTTACATCCGGGCCAACGAGAGTGATTAGTATAAGATGACATAACTTGTTTCAAAATTGTTGTAAAATAAATGAAGTTTATATTATATTATATAGTAGACAAAAATAACCAGACAAGGGCATGTTCCACAGACTGGCAAAATCTAAAATCTATTTGGATTGACCATGACGAAGAACTTGGTTGAGTCTCATTTTGGAGTTATTTTCCTTTCCATCAACCATGCTGATTTGAATACATATTAAGATATCAGAGGTCTGAACTCTTGAAAGAAACATTATAACGGCAATTATCCAGCAGGCCTCATACTACTAAAACAAACTCCCCTTTGTGGTTGGTTGGAGAGTGAGTTAATCTTACACTAGTCTCACTAAAGTGTACAAGTGGAAATCAATTCAGCTTCCACAGCTTGGAATCAGCAGATCAACCACACCTGCATTGACAATGCAGGCATAATATTATTGCTGAGTCTCATTTCTGGCACCGTTTTATTTATTTCTGAATATGCTGCAGCACATGTGCATGGGTTTGTATCTGGAAAGTCAGACAGCATACCAAATAATATGGAAATCTTGTCAATCTGATCACATTAAGTTTATCTTTTGAGATCCTCTGCACATTCTTAAAGCCTGACATTACAACACTACCATGTTCATTGTCTTCTGTTTTGTCACTTTGTGACCTACATGAAGTAAACAAGATAAAATATAAAATGGGTGTTAGCACTCTAAAACATCTAGATGTCAAACATTTATGAATCAAAGGTTTGGAAGTTAATGGATATGTTGTTTAAAAAAATGTCATCTATATGCAACTGAGGAGGTTGAAAGGTGTTTAAGTATACTCATGTAACATTACCGAGTTTTTACACCAGACGTGGATATTATTTTTGACTGGATGAAAATCTCTAGAGCCAAGTCCTCAAAATTCAAAATACATATAAAGGACTCTAATGTGCTATGATATTAATGAAATTTTTCAAATTCTCACAAAAATGTTTAATGCGGCTCATATAATGAACTAAATACCTTAGGAAAGTACCTATTTTGAGAAATGGTAATTGTGATACCTTTGATACACTGATTTACTTGAAACGCCCTATGTGAGACAATCCATTTCACATTAAATGTATCACATACTGGATATAAACTGATAGGCAGGACTGCACAAGAAAAGAAAAGTAATTCAGAAGTGACAAAAAGACAGCTGGTAGACATGGTGTAGAATTTAGAATTCTCAGCATCCTGAATGTGATTAGTTCTCATCAGTATGTAACAAATTAATGTCACCAGAATTTAGCATGTATCTAAAATATAATGTAGACTGAAACAGATAAATCACAACTTCATATTTTTGTTATAAAAGTTGCTATGATGTATTTATAAAGTGAAATATTTCCAGCAAAATAGTTACAGGTATATATAAATTAATGAGGGTACAAATACAATGAAGCGTGACAGACAGTTTCTAGGGATGATTCAAAGAAATGATTTGCACATGATCACCAGGCTATGGCCCTGTCCCTCAGCCCCTGGAATTACCTAATCACCAGCTTATGGCCCTGTCCCTTAGCCCCCTGGAATTACCCTTATCACCAGCTTATGGCCCTGTCCCTTAGCCCCCTGGAATTACTTAATCACCAGCTTATGGTCCTGTCCCTTAGCTCCCTGGAATTAACTTATCACCAGCTTATGGTCCTGTCCCTTAGCTCCCTGGAATTACCTAATCACCAGGTGATGGTCCTGTCCCTCAGCCCCCTGGAATTACCTAATCACCAGGTGATGGTCCTGTCCCTTAGCACCCTGGAATTACCTAATAACCAGGTTATGGCCCTGTCCCTTAGCACCCTGGAATTACCTAATCACCAGGTTATGGCCCTGTCCCTTAGCACCCTGGAATTACCTAATAACCAGGTTATAGCCCTGTCCTTTAGCACCCTGGAATTGCACCCGGTCTTATTTAAATTTTCTGACTGATTCTCATCAATGGCTGATGATTACAACCAAGTTTTATCTAGCCAACACTTCTAGAAAAGTCAACTGGTTACACATTTTGTTCGGATAAAAGGCAATTGTCAAAAGTCACCTGAGTAACACAGGTACTCCGGTGATCTAAACGAAAACCCAATGTTTGCAATACCAGAAACTTATGACATCCAAATAGCTACTTATTACTTTAGCACCTGTAGACGTCTGTACACCATGTGCTTGGCTACAAAGGAAGACTTCCCTATAATGAATACATACAAATATTGGAGTGTACATATTTCATCTCACATTGTCAATTACACTGTCAGTTTATGATGCATTCTAGTTACATTTAAATTGTAGTCATATATTTTCAAATTAATATCTCATTTAAAATGTGTTTCAATTAATTAATAAAATTCGCTACCTAAATTTTTATATTTTCTTGGTTCATCTTATGGTTTGTGAATTTTGCTGATGTCATGAATCTTATAAGTCTGCCTGTTTGCAAAAGAAATTAAAGAAAACTTGTATGAAGATAATATTGATTTATATTAAGGCATAAATGAGGCTCCAAAGTACTGGTGAAATATTAAATAAAACAATGCTTTTATTGAGATCAGATTTATACCTGAGATCAGATTACAAAATCAAACATGACATAAAACAATAAGTAAGTACAATTTAACCTACATATTTCTACAAAACAAAGTTCATGATTATAACACATCGTATCAAAGTTCATGCTGAGATTTTATTTTTCGCAAATTCCTGACTGAGGATCTTCATTATGTCTTTATGTTTTAGACTTTGCTCTCGTTTCTTGATGTCTCCATAGTTATCCTTGACAAACAAAGCAAACTTGTTTGGAGTTCGGGGTGTTGATGCACCACTCACTGGTGTGGAACCATTCTTTCCTGAGTTACTTAGCAGCGTGAAGCGGCCGTGACAGTATCCACAAACTTTAGTGTCCATATTCAATGACTTGGAATGGCGATCAATCCTAAGAAAAGAGAATACAGTGGTATCATGATACCTATCGATGACGAAAACCTCCATACAACGGTGAGACGGGGATAGTCCCACTTCCATAAATGTGTGATTTTCTATGAATAGTTATGGTAACCTTGACATTTGAACTCTGAAACATAAACTTATCCTGGAAATTTTCTTAACATACCATAAACTTTGAGCCAATTTTTTCAGAATCGAAGTCATCAAAACCATATTACAAAATTGATTGATGATTTTCCATAAATGGTAAAGAGACCTTAATCTTAAAACATAAACTCAGTATAAGAATGGTTGTACTCCACTTTGTTATTGTCATCCCTGCGCATATTGCTAAAGTGATTATTTTTCAGCTCTTTCCACATAGATGTTGACTAACCTGTATCAACACTGTCTAGAGAGTTTATTTACCTGAATCCTAACGAACTGTTTCTACAACTGATTTACCTGTATCAACACTGTCTACACAGTTGATGTACCTGTATAAATACTGTTTGTCTAAACAATCTACTTACCTGTATCCACACTGACTGTTCACAGAATTGTTTTACATATATCCACACTGTCTTTGCGGTAAATTTACCTGTATACACACTGACTGTCTATACAGCTTAATTACGTGTATCCATACTGTCTGACTGTCTATACAAATGATTTAACTCAATGCATACTGACTGTCTACTGGATTAATTTACAGACCTAAAACTGTTTAACATTCCCAAAAAATTTTTTTGTTTGCGTTTCATGTGTTTGGGATCGTTTGCATTCTGAATTGTGCATTTTGTTGTTTGTACTTTGGATTGCTTTCCATTTCCATTTACTTTTGTTTGGATTTGTGTACTGTATCCAGAATATAAGAATGAATATGCATGTGCAATAACGGCTAAATATTGAAGCATATGATGGTGTGGCCCATAGGTTGTCCGTATTTGTGAGAAAAATATAGAGAGCATAAGAAAAGCTGAGATTGAATTGATGTTTGGATAAACTATCATACAAATCTTCATGACGGGAAAAATGAAAAAGCTTTAGTTACCACAGGATCATAACTGTAAGTTATAACATGAGGATATCAACACTATTCACCAAAAGATACATAGTATTGGGCATTAAAATCATATCAGTCTACAGACTTAAACATCATTTTTTTATTTTCACTCATATAAACTTAATTATTGTTTTATTTTGCTGCATCTGAGTGTGGAAACGTTTAACGGTTCAATGCACAGCAAATTTACCTGCATTCACAACGGTTATCCTCACTGACTATCTACACAGTAAATTTACCTGCATTCACAACGGTTATCCTCACTGACTATCTACACAGTAAATTTACCTGCATTCACAACGGTTATCCTCACTGACTATCTACACAGTAAATTTACCTGTATCCATACTGATTATCTCTAAAGTAAATTAATCTTTCTCAACACTGTCTATTTACGAAGTTAATTTACCTGTATCCACACTGACTGCACTGGTATGTAAACTTAGTGTTAATGCTGTAACTATGACAACGACCAATCACAGGGATTTCCGGATGGGTCTGGTTCGATTTTTTGGCCCTAGAAAATAAGAGATGAAAATGACAACATGATTTTGAGATGATATGGTGTGAATATGTACTTAATCTGTTCAGGTGCTTAAGAAGTAAATTTTATATAAGGTTTCTTGATTGAAAAGTGGTATTAAGTGTGACATTTGACCTTGACTGATGATCACCAAAACCTCATCTGGTTTCTAACTTGATGTTTTGATACAATGAAAGAGTGAATATGAACAAATATATGGGGTTTATGAGACACCTTGTACACAAGCTTATGCATATGTGCACATATACAGGTGGATGTAAAGACAGATGGACAGACAATTACTATATACCTCCCAATATTGGGGGTATAATAAGGATGACATAATGATATGTGTTCCACTCTTTTTCATGCCATTCCTGTCAAAGATTTTAGTCATCAACCTGAAGGACAAAACTGCTGTACGATGAAGCCAATTTCCTGGATGGAACCACAACGTATGGATCAGTCGATATCTTTAGTATGTAGTTAACACATTACAGGCTAACAAAGGATTCTCTTCATCCAAGAATGATTGTTTAGTTGATTCTCATGAACTGTCAACATGTTTGAATCGCTATGTAGCCACCAACAGGACCAATATTCGGCCATCCTCAAGACCTTGATGATGACTGCATAGTGCTTGAAATATGTTATTAACTATAAACTAAAATACTATTCTTGGTTGTTGAGAATCTTTTAAATACCTGTACTATATTCTCCTGACATTGAAATCTTGGTTCTGATACCACATTTTTGTATTGTAGTTGTCATCTTGTTGTGTTCCTTTTGAAGCCAGCGAAAACTATTTCCAACAACAAGTGTATCGCATAGAACATGACTGAATGGGGGAATGTGCATTATAATGCTGTCTTCAAATCAACATTATATTGTTCATTATCAAATATAGTTTGTTTTAAAGTAAATTTTCAGCAATCCATTTTGTGAAGGTAGGGGTGAACTTTATGTGCTCAGAATTTCTGTGATAATTACCAATATCTCCAGTATGGCCCATGTCCATCAGTCATTCCATTCACTAACCATACTGCAGCATGACACATTTCATGAATCAGTGTGTCTCGTACACGTTCTGTGAATAACAAGCATGAATCAGTGTGTCTCGTACATGTTCTGTGAATAACAAGCAACCTTGTATCAGTGTATCCTACACAAGCCCTTAGAATAACAAGCAACCTTGTATCAGTGGATCCTACACAAGCTCTTAGAATAACAAGCAACCTTGTATCAGTGGATCCTACACAAGCCCTTAGAATAACAAGCAATCTTGTATCAGTGTTTCCTACACAAGCCCTTAGAATAACAAGCAATCTTGTATCAGTGTTTCCTACACAAGCCCTTAGAATAACAAGCAATCTTGTATCAGTGGATCCTACACAAGCTCTTAGAATAACCAGCAATCTCTTGTATCAGTGTATCCTACACAAGCTCTTAGAATAACAAGCAATCTCGTATCAGTGTATTCTACACAAGCTCTTAGAATAACAAGCAATCTCGTATCAGTGTATTCTACACAAGCTCTCAGAATGACAAGCAATCTCTCATGTATCAGCGTCTCATATCAGCTCTGGGAAAGACAGGCAAACGCTTATGGAGCAGTGTGTCTTGTACACCGACTGTGAATGACAAGCAACCCTAATGTATCAATGTGTCTTGTACATCCACTGTGAATGAGCAATCCCTTATGTATGTGCGTCTCATAGCTGCTCTGGGAATGACAAGCAACCTGTTATGTAGCAGTGTGTCTTGAACATGTTCGGTGTCTGTGTATCAGCACACACATCACTTTCGGTTCTAGTACAAAGTAAAGTAAATACATTCATGAATTTCAATATCTGAGCAAAACATTTCTACCTCTTATTATATATTTTATTATTCCAACACTAACATTTTGTAGCTATAGTTCATAATACTGGGAAACTATTATTTACAGTGACTGTTTTCATTTTGTTTTATTTTTCTAGGGCAAATTTGGTCAATTTGTCTATTATTTACATAATAAAAATGATCTTCATGTAATATGGTATTCTTGGCAGCACACTGTTGATGTAAGAATGAGAAATAAGAGAAAGATACTCATGTCAGAGTGAAGGACGTCACAAAATGTAGTAAAACCCTTGACCAAGCCCCAGGTTTTACGGCATTTTTTTTACCCTTAAGGTGGAATAGCACTATCCCACACTGTGACACATGAAGTGTCTTATAATCCAAATGGACAATGACACAAATACTATGTTTTAGATTTCTGTACATGCTGAGTCAGAGTTAAATGGATAGGTCCATTAGGAAAATGACAGGAGACCCATGAATGTATATGAAAATTTCTCAGTTATAGAATTTATTAGATAGATCCATGCAGATGAATGTACCTACAGTTATATTTCTGTTCCTGTCAAAAAACAGGGTTTTTTTTATTAACCATGCAGTAAAGGCAAATATGATGCAAAGAAAATACTTACATAAATACCCAACCATAACAGACTCTTTTATCTGCATGCCATTTTAGATGGATTTATCTTAGGACTGATGTACTGAAACAGGGGCTGTCAGAGAAGGGTTATGCTCCCTGATTATCACAAAATTAATTATTAAAGTATGAAAAATAACAAAGGGCAATAAGAGAGTTATGATTCTTGTGCACTGCACTTCTCTTTGTTGAGATTTATCTATTTATGAAATTTCATTTTATTACCTGTTATCGTTTTAGTGTAATGCTCCAAACAAAATTTTAAGTATGAAAAATAAAGGGCAATAACTCCTAAATTATACAAAAGAGAGTGATGGTTCTGGTGCACTGTACCTCTTCCTGTTGTGATCTATCTACCTATGAAGTGTTATGTTGATACCTCTTATAGTTTTTGGTGTTATGCTCAGATGGACGGACACAGCGGCAACTATGGGGAGCATAATAAAATCTCATTCCAGGGCTGAGAATCACTTGTTATTCTAAGTTAGCATGAGAGTGAGGTAAACTAAACATATACAGGTAACAAATCGTATTGTTATATCAAAACTGTATGAAAAATATATCAGTTATTTGTTGTTTCATAAACTTTTAAATCTGTCAAAATTATCTCATTTTACTTTTTGTGTCACAAACGAAAATGAGATATATAATATTGTTTTACTTATAAAGTCAAATGAGTATAGTACAAGACAGTTCAGACAGAAAAATCTGGTGCTTGTTTCCCTGTCTTATATATAGAAATACCTTTCTGTTCTTACAGAGTTACATACATGACAGGACAGATTATTGGATTCACAACATGGATAATAGTGCTAATTTAACATTTCTATACCTGCAGAGTCACAGACTTTGGTCGAAAGCTCAATGCGTACACTGCGAGCTCCCCCAGATGTGGACACCTTCTTGTACACACAATACCCTGCTGTCCTCAACAGGCGACAGTTCCAGATCACTTCTACGTCTTGGGGTAACTGAAAAACATCAAATACAATCTTTCATACCCTTGGGTTGAGAGGGAAGATTTTGACATGAGGGCAAAAATTATCTTGTGATACAAAACAAGTAGTGAAGCCATCTGTTTTTACCTGCTGGTATTGCTTGCTATCTACATATAAATCATATCTACTTCCTGTTTTGAATTTTATCTTTTATTGTATTACACAAAAAAAATCTTAGTTATCTTGTTCAGGTCTAATATTCTCATATTAATCAGTTCTTGGAAATCAATCTAATTCAATGGAATAATTTGATTAATGCAAGGATCAGCTATTGCTTATTCAAACTTTATTTAAACATATTACACAGTCAAGTAGTAGCATCTCAAACATATGTACTACATTTCTATCTAAAAATAGTATACATTAGGCATTCAAACCTAACATACAGGGGAAAGTGCATGTAATTATCTTTTTAATATGTTGTGTGTAAATGCTCACTTTATTTAGGTTTTTCAACAAAGTGATGCACACTGTGAACATGTCATATCCTTGGAAGGTAATTTTCAGCTATCTCCCATATAAAGTTTATTTGAATATGATGCTGTCAGTGAGGTTAAAACCACAAAGATTGAAAGTATAATTCCTACAGATATGTTGATGTGTTTACTTATCATTTCCACTACTGACAATTTTTAACATGGTAACAATACCAACAAAAGACACAGTCAGTGCTGGCTTAGTGCATTTTGATACAGTTGATGCTTATGATTCAATACTTCAGCCTTTGTAACCTTTCTGCACTAAAACTATAGCATTGCAATATACAGACAGTAGCATTGGTATAGTTCTTTCTGAATAACCACTACACATGAATTGAATTATCCTAGATCAACTGACTGTTTTGTTTTTTTGTAACACTACTGCATAAGCTCTTGGTTAAAGCAATAATTAATGAGTTCTAAATCCTTCTTATTCCTTGTTGTGGTTGTGGATGTTATTCCACACTGTAAGAGTCCAGTGACCATTGCCAGTTTATTCAAGTGTTTGTAACAGGCGAATACAGAGATTTAAATGTCATCTTGCACCAGTTTATTCCTTATATTAGGAAATTGGTGATATACAAAAAAAATACTAGTAGGTATTTTTGTGGAGTCATTGGTTTTGCCGATCCAAAGCCTTTGTCATTATCTTGACAGATCTCATCGTTGTCTAAGTGTGGAGTGTTAGTTACCTGGTACTTCTTTTTCAGAACATAGCCAAGTATCACAAATAGGTGGCAACATTTCTTGTTGGTACTGACGATATATATTAATAGTAATTACCTAGTACCTTATTTTTATGAACACAGGCAAATATTACAACCATGAGGCAAAATTTCTTTTCATGGACATAGCCAGATATTGTGACTAGGTGGCAAAGGACTACCTGATGATTTTCCTTTTTTTTCTCTTTTGTTTTACAAATAATTATATATCCAAAACAAGAGGCCCATGGGCCTTAACGGTCATCTGACATTAGATACAAGATATTTGACCCCTGTGACCTTTAAAGTGGGTCAAGGTCATTCATTTGAACAAACTTGGTAGAGCTCCATGCCAGTATGCTCTGTGCCAAGTATTAGCCCCCTAGACCTTCTAGTATTTGAGAAGATGTTGTTTGAATGAAAAGTTTACGCACGGCGGACGACGACGGACGAAGCACGATGGCTATAGGTCATCTTGACCCTTTGGGTCAGATGACCTAAAAACACCTGCATGTTAGACATGAAAGCGCACAACAAGTGTGAAGTACATAACAGTCTGTATTTTAAATACTTGTTTCTTTATGTATGATGTTATTATCAATGCAAAAATGGAGATGTATCCCCTTCCTATAATCAATCATCTATCTGTTCAGATGATCTGAAGATCAATTATGAAATTGTCATTGATCCCCAACATTAGCGGTTCTTCACTTACCTTATTATCAAATACTGTTTCATTGTATATTTTAAAAAGACGTTGGGTCAGTTCTTGCTTGGATTTCTTAAATGTCCTGATAAATCTGAATACAAAATAATAAAAACAAAGTGATCAGGGGCCCATATAAATAAACCATATAATTAAACCATATAAAAATACACTCCATCCCTGAACCAATGACTACCATAAAGATATACACTCCATCCCTGAACCAATGACTACCATAAAGATATACACTCCATCCCTGAACCAATGACTACCATAAAGATATACACTCCATCCCTGAACCAATGACTACCATAAAGATATACACTCCATCCCTGAACCAATGACTACCATAAAGATATACACTCCACCCCTGAATCAATGACTACCATAAAGATATACACTCCATCCCTGAACCAATGACTACCATAAAGATATACACTCCACCCCTGAACCAATGACTACCATAAAGATATACACTCCAACCCTGAACCAATGACTACCATAAAGATATACACTCCACCCCTGAACCAATGACTACCATAAAGATATACACTCCACCCCTGAACCAATGACTACCATAAAGATATATACACCCTATCCTTGAGTCAATGACCATTAAAATCTGATCACATGTAGACCTTGTTGGTATGATTAAGATTATCACAGATGCACACATGCACAGACAGATGCATGCATGAACAAAAAGAGTGATTATTATACCCCCTTTACATAAATGAAAGCTATAAAAATAAAGCAACTTGGGACTCAAATTTTAATATAGATTAATCAATTAGAACAGTGATTCAAAAGATGTTTCGAGCAGAAGCATTTAAGTTTTTAATCTGTTGACATTACCATATTTTACCAGAGTGTCTTACTTAACAAATGCATGCACACACAGATCCTAGAAGATTTGCAGAATTTGATATGTGTTTTAAAAGTTTCAAATAATCTGACAGGTGTGTTGTTAAACAAGAAAACTGTAGATAGGAGTATTTTTCACCAAGTTTAGCTAAAATCCCTTATAGAGAGAGGATCTTAATCCAATACATGATGATAATCATAATACTTACCTGACAGCTTCTGGGTCACATTTGGTAACAGGTAGATTCTCTGTGAGGGACTTAAGGAAGCTGTACTTAGTATTTGAAGGGTACAAACAATGGTCTTCCTTCAAACCCCAGTTATCTGTCATTGGTGTTTGTAGCTTCCTTGGTTTCTTCTCTGAGGTATAAAATGTCATACATGATGATATCATAGGTCATACATGTTTGAATTTATATATCCTTATACACAAATATTTCCCTCAATAAGTTATAGTTAGAGGTGAATCAGGTGCTCATAGCCTTTACTTGGAACTTAATGAACATGTATAGAAACAAAAGTTTCTTTTTCTAATTTTTGCCAGAAAAACATCCTGGAAATCTAGGAGAATAACAATTTATAACCACAGATGATATTTGATTTGGTATTGTGGCTTCAGTTCTGGTTGAAGTACACTTATACTGATATTCTGATAACAAAATCACGTTATTCCTGTGAGCTTTTAGCATTGTAACCTTTACTAGTTTATTCCCATCTATAAGAACTGATTAAAATTATGGCCAGAACTCTTTTCTTAATACAATCATATTTGATAAATCTGAAACTAAATATAAGTAATATGGTTTATTACCTATACCATGTTTTGTCTTAAAAAAATAAAATATACGTTGCAGAAAATTCCTATTGCAATAGAGTATAAACATGGGAAAATTGTATGGAGATTAAATAAAATTCCTAGCTGAGAAATGAAATGTCCTATTAGCTATCAGACACTTACTCATCAATAGTTCTCCTGTTTGGTACGTGTATTTCTATCTATGTAGTAATCAGTGACATCAGAAATAAATGTTTCAAAACATACATAGCAAAGTTTTAGGCAACTCTATCAGTTAAAAGCTGAACTTGACTACACATCACTGTGACAACAGAAATGTGCATGATTTCAGATCTATTTCTTACTTGTGCTTAGAGGAGTTTTAAAGCCCTGATCTGCACTGCTTTTTGTAGTAACTTTGGGAGTTTTGAAATCTTCATCTTCTGAACTGCTGTTATTGAAAACTACAGGTACGACTTTCCTAGGGGGAAAAATGAATTAAACAATCAATACTTCAATCAATACTTTTAACAATATATGGAAATGGCGGACATCACATGTTTTGGCAAATCTTAGTAAAAAGAAAGAAGTATAAAAAAACAACTCAATATGTAAACAGTATGTACATTTAAATTATATTCAAACCATTATAAGAGATCCGAGAGGAATCTTGGTGACCACAATGGTATAATCTTTATATTTCCCTTCTTATCTCCCTTGTATATGCTCTTCATTACATGAAATTTGAAAATTCCTCTAAAGAATCCAAGATGGTTGTCTGTAGGCTATTTTGTTTTTCTATTCACTCCCAAAATCAAAAGGGCACAACTAGGAACCAAGTGGAACCTACATACAAAGTTTGAGAAACATCCATCCAATACTTCTCAACAAACAGTGATAATATGAATTGCTTACGGACAGATGGATAGTGAACCACCGACCACAGACATAGGGTGATTTGAAAAGCCCACTATCAGATAATAGTTGACTGAGAAAAACAAACTTTCAAAATCTCAGACCAGTATTAGCAATCTGCCCAAATTTAAACATGCACAACCAATAAATACGGATTAATTTCGAAATTTTGAGAAATATCTTTAGAGTATCTTTAGAGAGAAATAGTGATAACAATAATTGTTTTAAACAAAATGGCATTTAAGAACAATCAATCTGATAATAGTACACTAAAAATGATCAATTTCCATTTCAATACTTTTTTCCTTTCCTTATTCAGATCAGTACATACTTTTGGTCATCTGTGCTGTGGAGTGTTGACCTGTAGGCGGTGCTGATATGAAACACATCATCTTCATCATCATCGTCATCGCTAACTTCCCAGTCTTCCACTATAAACTCTTTCATGCTGCTCACATATAAAGGTAGGAGGGTCAGGTTGAAATTGATTAGATGATAGATATGTGATAGTAGAGGCAATTAATATATGAGTTAAAATACAACTACAATTTCAGATCATTAAAATACATAATTACACAAGACATGCCTCTTGGCACATTTAGATACATATGTAGTATTGACCAAATACTCACAAACAAGCAAAGTGTTTTGTATGTTATGCCTCCTTTCATAAAGAGTCTGTTGCCATTATTTTCAGATAAATGCAATGAATACCAATATTTTCTCTTACATATTTCAAATGTAAGGGACTTTTCACTAGATACACATTATAGTCAGAAAATAAAACATAAGAAATGAGGTACTGTGAATCTCACAGCTCACACCAGTCAAAGCAAAATACTTTTGCTTCAATTTTCTGATAATTTGCATCATGTACATATTGTTTATAAAGTATTTTCTGATCATTAATATAGTAAGATGTAAATAAAAGCTTTATCTGTTAGATATCTACCATTGTTTCAGCTGTAACTACAGTGTGTATCATAAATTGGTATCTCTGTATGTTTTACCTCATTGTTTCAGCTGTAACTACAGTGTGTATCATAAATTGGTATCTCTATGTTTTACCTCATTGTTTCAGCTCTCTCTTCATCTTCACTGCTCAGCTTTTTCTTGGACCCCCTCATTTTCTGTAAAACTAAAAATAGGAACATAATCTTAGCTTTAGTTTTCAGGATATGATCCAAACATAAAGATCTCTATGAATAGGATGAAAAACATTTTTTGGTTGTGTGTTTGTAAGTGGGTGTGTGGGCAACTTTTTTCAAGTTTATTGTTGTGAAAGCTTATATTACCTTTAATGTTGACTGATCACAGAAATTTTGAACATGATGTGTCCAGACAGGATGATTAAAACTTTCCCCTTTATCATAAACAACTGAGAATCAAGCTATTCATATCAACTTAATTTATCATATGGTTCATATGGAAGAGTGTAAGGGGTCTTATTGCTTTCACTACTAGAGTTACTGGGTTAAAAATCCAGCAGCTGATGATCCATAGGTACCTCATGGTGTCAAACAGAAAAATAAGACCTGATTTACCGAGGTAAATGACAGGCACTTTACCATCGCCATGGTTATTGTTCAAATAAAGAAATATACTTACAGGTTTCTAAAGCATCATCTTCATCACTGGAGGATTCAATATTCTGTTTAGTTCTGCAGAGAATCAGAGTAACAAATATAAAATATCAAATATCATTGTTAATAGTTATAGCGTCCATTTTGAATATTAAAAAAATTGCTGATTTTTTGTTATCCTTTTTTGGTGTATGTGAATGTTGTGTGATTATGGGTTAAACAACCCAGTCTTGTATTCAAAACCTTGTACAACACCCAAAGGAAATTGACCTGAACTGATGTGAAGTTGTGCAGTCTTAATTTAACAAACTTTATGTCCACTATTACAGCTTTTCAGTGGATGACTGTCCATTAAAGAAAAAATCCCTAAAAAGTAAGATGAAATTCCTGGGAGACTTTCAATGATTCAATGACTTGAATAATATCTAGTTCTGGGAACTACAGAAATCTTCCAGAAATTTATACTGTTATACATATTTACCTCCAGTGTTTGTTTGATAACTGCTCTGCCATTTTTTGGTCACTCTCCGAATCGGAAAGTGAGTTGTAGGCATTTTGTCTTTCAGTACGCTTGCCCTTGATGGTACTTGTAGATCTTGGAACTTTTATGCACTTCTGGTCTCTAGTTTTAATTGAAAGTGATTTAACATCAGAGTCGTCTGAGGAGTCAGTGGATAAGGAGTACTTCCTTTGGGATTTTACACTTGTTTTGTCTTTAGGAAAATAATGTGACACTATCTCATCCTCAGAATTGGACGAGAAATTTTTTGTCTGCTGTTCTTTCTTGCTGGCAATTTTTGATGTGTTGACTATTTGACAATCGTCAGAATCAGTGTCACTTACAGAAACAATATCATCAGCTTTGAAGTTATTTCCCTTCTTTCTGTGGTTGGTGGAGTCTTGCAAGCTTTTAGTTGGCTCATAACTGGAGTTTGATGAATGTGAACTACTCAAAAGTGATTGCTTGGCATCAAAATAAATACTTGGGTCTCTTCTGTTGAATTTAATTGATTGTTGGGGCAAATCTTTGGCATCAAAATAAATACTAGGCTCCCTTTTTGTGAAAGCAGGATTAGGTTGCATGTCAAGGCCTGGGAGACTGATATTGTGCAGATCCTCGAGAATTTCTTCCTTTTCGTTGTCCATTTGGTTGGAATTCAGTGCAGCATTTTCTTTAATTACATCACAAGAAGAATTGGAACCTGAATCATAACACAAGCCATTGATGTTGCCTGTTGGTTGATGGTCAGGCAGGACTTGAAAGCTAGTCTGCATGGATACATCTTCCACTTCTACAAAAGAATCATCTTCATTTCTTTCATCATCAGAAGCTGATTTGAAATGTTTATGTTCACTTTTCAGAGCCTTTGGAGGTGTGCTTTCAATAATGCAAGACTGTTCACTGATCAATTCTGCTTGTACAGACACGTCTTCCACCTCGTAAGAGGATCCACTTCCTGAACTTGTGTCAGAAACTTTGTGATCAAAATTTGCTGATTCTTCACTTGATGCACACTTGCCTATTTTCTGATTCACATCTGATATTGAGTGTACCTGTACTGCCACATCTTCTACTTCATAACTGGAACCTGAGGAGGTTTCTCTTTCATCTTTCTCAGATGTATATGAAGATTTTATCACTTCTACGCTATCTTCTATAACATGTGGATCATAGGCAGTTGTGTAGAGGTCAGAGTTGTTCACAGCTCTTGAGGAGTTATTTCCCTTAGAGGTACAATGTTTTGAATTTTCTAAACTCAAAGCCTGTAATTTCAAACACACATTGCTGCTGGTAGGTGATGTTTGTAAAGTCTTGGAATTGGCAACATTTGTTTTTGGTCTATCATTTTTTATATTCAACTGTTTGTACGAGTCTTCATTTGAGTTATATTGAAAACTATCCATACATGTACTACCAGATAAGCTCCCATTTCGATGGAATGAAATGGCTGAAACATCAACAGAGTCCAAAACACATTCAAGGCTTGCATCACTGTGTATTCGTGTAGATTCTGTTACATAATCTCCAAGATATTCTGGGCTTTCTGAAGATGATCGAGCACCAGGCAGACGAGTGTGACGTCCTTTCGTCAGTATTTCTGGTGAATTAGGTGACTCTAAAACACTGACAGTATTTTTTATCTTTTTCCTGTGATTCTTTTTTTCACCCTGGTTTGTCCAAGACCTGGTCAGATCTGTACATGCAGCACTCTTTCTCACAGATACACCCTGCACACCATCATCCAGGCAAACACTATCAGATCCATGAGGCGAGTGTGATCGGACTTTCAGATGTCTTTCTGTTGGTCTCTTGTTTTCTTTGCATTCCTCTGAATATTCATGCTTATGTTTCTGATGAATCTTTTCTTTATGTTTCCTCCTGGGGTTAGATTGAGGTTCTGTTGATAAAAGAAAATCCACAGATTTAATAACCGTAGTAAGAGATAGAAATCAAAATATAATACTTCAATACCAATTTAAAACTGTACAACCTACATTCTGCATTGTGTCGCTGAATCTTATAAGCTATTAAAACACTTTCAGTCAGTAGAAAACAAAAAATCAAATGCCATCTTAAAAAATATTGAGTCTAGTTTTATTTCTTATGTGAAGATTAGCTTATTAGCACATGTCCTGTGTATCTAAATAAAACTTTACCTTTCAATGTTGATATGTCATCTGATAACTTACCGCTCGCTTTATCTCTCCGTGATCTTGTAGATTTCTTTTTTGCACTTTTTGACAACTGAAAGGGCAAGATGATGTACATTTCAAATATGAAATATGAAACTTTGATAAAAATTTTGTGGATTTCAAATAAAAACTTACCAAAATGGAAAATTAAATAAAGAAATCCCTAGTCATCAACTTTTTGAAAGTAGCCATTCAGATATTTCATTCTACTACAATATAATCTAAAATTAATTTTATCACACAAGTGTAGCAGAGTTAATTTAATTAAAGTATATTATAATTAATTTTATTACAGTTTATTGCAGTACAGGTAAGACATAAAGAAAATGAGTAATGTTCGTTTGAATACAGTGTTGCTGAGTTAATTTTATTACAAAATAATATAGACTTAATTTTATTACACAAGTGTAGTAGAGTTAATTTCATTAGGTACACAAGTGTAGTAGGCTTAATTTTATTAGAGTATAACAGAGTAAATTTTATTACAGTAAAGTAAATATTATTTAGTATAGCACAATTAAATTATTTCAGTATATATCTAAATTAATTCTAAACAGTTTAACAGCTTTAATTTGATAAATAAATTACCGTTTCTATAGCAGTATCAATGTTGTTGTACTGAAACCATCCTAACTTGTCCCCAAGTTTCTGGAAGAGCTGGGACACATCAGGTTTGGACTGTGACTGGTTAGGAAGAATCTCTGTCAGTACTGGTGCAGGAGTGCTAGTTGCAAAAGCCTTACTCTGGGAAGGAATCCCAATCCCTTCATTCTGAGGGCCAGTTGGTGTACCAGACATAGCCTTTTTATTCCTCTGATAAAAAACAGAAGCAATTAGATGTTTTGTGTATTATTATTAGACTGATAAATAATTAATGGTTTTAGACTTATTTATGGGGAAACAGTTACTATATTGACCACCAATTAAAAAAAAAGAAAAAAAAAGAGGCCCATAGGGCCTGTATTGAACACCTGGTTTAGTACGCTGAAACTGTTCATCTTAAACTAAACACATTTTAAAGATATATATCTATTTCCCATATTGTTCTCTGCCACTACCATCCCAGGAGTTCCACACTCACTGTTTAGTCAGATTTGATTCCCTCTTAACCAAAATGGTGCAGATAAAACTTGGATAGAATCTAGGCATTCTTAAATAAGCAGTTTTGAGAATTTGTTTTATTTCAGCTGTTGGGCTCTGCTCCAGGGGATTAAAACCCACAGTTTATACAAATCTGATTCCTCTTGATCCAAGAGTACTTCAAGTGGACTACATTTGGAAAGAATCTAGGCAATCCTACAAAAGCAATTCCTCTAATTCCCTTGTTGGGATTTTTCCCTCTGTCCTCAAGGGGCCAAAACTCATATTTTATGAAAACTCCCTTCATCCAAGAATGCTTCAGCTAAAATTGGACAAAATCTAATAATTCTTTCAGATGCCAAAGGATTTTAACAATTTGCTTAATTTTCCTGTTTGAGCATGCCCCTCAGGTCCCAAGACCCATCTGATTTATACAAACTTGGTTCCCTTTCCCAAAAAGAATGTTTTTTTTTTTACCAAGTTTGATTAAAATCTATTAAGTCAATCATGACTGGTAACTATTTTTGCAGAAAGTTTGATGGATTTTGAATGATGTGCCTTTGGGGAGTTAAAAAATAAATTTCATTAAAATATGACAGTTTATTAATTTACTTTTTTCCCATAAATTCTCAGTGAGATAAAATATTGATTGTAGATCAATTCTTTATTGTTACACAACTCTCCTCCATGGCAACTCTTATTACTTTATGCTACAGGTCCATTGTTCAATACCACTGCTATCATCTCACAAATGGCATTGTTCTCAACAATTTGCCTTCCATTTTTTCACTCATATAAATGGCATTCTATATCATAATTACTTCTAAAATATTCACTATCATACATATATGTAACCCCAGCTAGACAGAGCTTTTCTTTAGCTCAATTGGTTGAGTGTCAGACTAGTTAGCCAGAGGTTCCGGGTTCAAATCTTAGTGGAGGCAATGAAATAAATGATCACCTTTTATACATATGAACTACTATCGGTTAAGTGTATTTGATTTATAGCAGCTATACAACAATTTTGTTTGAAGAACAAAACAAATCCATCTATTCCCTCTGCATGACATCACTGTCATATAACACACCTCCAATTGACCAAACTTATATAACCAACAAGGTAATCAAGCAGTGCTAAAGAGAGATTGAGAGAGACAGGTCATTAGTTCTGGTCACATCTTTCAATACACTCATACTAATATACCAGGTGTTTTAAAATTTGAGCAGTGATGTTTGACACAACAATGTAGGATGTAAAATTAACTACAATTTAGTCATTAAATGATCACTCGTTACAGAGTTGAATCACGTTTAGGTCATGTTTTTTAAGGTAATATATTAGTGTCTGATTTACCCATCACACGAGTATCCAACTAATTGCAATCTGACGAATTAATGTTTGACGAAATCTGGCGACAGTGTTAGGTAATGGTATGTAGTGAATCATAAACCAAATTAATGAAAAATGTCGATTCAGACCTATCCAAGCGATATTCTGGAACGTTTTAGTGGCCAGCACAAGTTATATATATATATATATATACATATGTATATATATATATATATATAGAGAGAGAGAGAGAGAGAGGTCATTGTCATAGCAGTCTAACTTCAACATCTATAGGTAAACCCTTATAAAATTTACTGCATTAGAAACTATATACTTTCGGTAGTCAATTTCATATTTTCGTTGAAATAAGATGAACAATTCTTTTAAGACTCATTAAGCGTTTCACCTTCACGAGTAACAACCACTTTTAACGAATTGACACAGATACTATCCATAACGCACCTGCTTCCACCATAATTACTTAAACAACCGGAAGTGAACTTGAATTTACCGCTTTCATTAAACGAAAAAAAATCACTTTATTTTTCTTCAAATAATGTTATATACAGTACATTAGAAAATTAATGCTGAGATTAAAACAGGCCATATCATACCGAAAAATGAATATATGAAGAAATAAAAATAATTTATCGGGAATGCGAGATATCTTATTTTAGGTGTGACCTTAACGGAAGTAATTCAAAAAGGTCACAGACCGAAAGGTAATTCATGCCATACAGGCCTCCAGTTTGTTTACAGTTTTATATGGCAAATTCTGCAAACTTATTGGACTTATTTCACAGAAGGTAAGTAAGATGGTATCGTCAACATTATAGGTATGCATTTGTGTTTCTTTTATGCGAGGTGAGTGTTCAAAGAACGTACCAATCATTCAACCGGTTTGTGTGTGTTGCAGCGTTTGACAGCAGACTCCGAATCCCTGCCCCTCCCCAATGTTTCTGTATAGGGTACAGACAAGGTCCGATTAAACCTATTTATTATGATTTGGGTTCTTCTCTTGATTTATTTTAGTAGTAGTAGACTGTGTTTCTGTTTCATTTTCAATTATTTGTGTTCTTACTGTTCTATTTCTCGTAATGATATGATGTCATGCTACTAAAAGTGATTTCATATTATAATGAGATTCAAAGAGTTTGTAACGTAAGCTTTACCTTTTTTTTGTTGTTCTAAGGTTATATCCGGTTAAATAGAAAGGTTTTTCTGTCCTAATTCGTCACAAATTTAATCTTATTTGTACACACAATTACATTTTATCATTTTGTTTTCAATTTGTGAAATGTTTTGTGGTGGTGTGATCATATTCCATTGGACATTCCATTTAGGAAAGTTTTTTTTTGAAAACAAAAAAATTTAGATATTGTTACCAATTACTGTTGTTTGATGACAAAGACATTAATGTGGATGTTTTGTGTTTCATTTGCGTGTGATCACTAACACTTCCAGTACTAGTACCAGTGTTGCCTTGGTGACTGGGTCTATCTAAAAAATGTCTGTTTACAAGTGACATGAAGAGGTAAATTCACTTCATTATTTAGATGTTGCTAATGTTATCACATATTTGAAGGTACGTAGTTTGAAGAGGCATCTTGTGAGTGTGATACACAATATAGTGCACATGTGTACCTCTGATCTTTGTAACTCTACCAATTTATCAAATATCAACATGAAACTTTGTACATAAGTGTATTATGGTCATATAAACAACATATATTTTGATATTGCTGAATTTATTGAGTATTTCTGAAGATATTGAATTTTCAGAAGTTACTTTACAATGCTTGTTGCCAATTGTTGGTCATTTGTCGATGCTTATTGATAAACCGTTGGTGACATTCTAACAAGTGTTGTTTGCTCCACTCTAGGAAAGCACAGTAGAAATATTTACTTATAACCTGGTTTTGCTGTATAAATGTTAAAACATTGTAACCTGACATCAATACAACTGCTATGATCAAGAAATTACCTTGTCTCAAACTTACCTGTAAATAAGTTAAGACTTGACATCTGCACAAATTGATATGATTAAGAATTTGCCTCATCTCAAACATAGCTGTGTACTGTATAGTGCAGCATGAAAAATATCATTTATATTTATACTCCAGAGATTGAAATCAAGGACAGGATTGTAACTAGACTTTTTGTCTCTTACTTATTGTAATATTAAATTACAATGCAGCTAAACAGACAGCTTACCACCTTTTGCAAATTGTAGTTAAGCAAATAAGAGGATGACTTTTATATCTTACACAGCAGTTTGAATTTTGATATGCTTGATGCTCTTAAGTATGCCAGTTGACTTCATGTTTCACATTTTGAAAATGTAATGTTACTTGGAGAGGCTTAGATTTACATGAGAAAATAAAGATCTTAGGTTCTTTCCTTTCAAAGACTTTCATTTAAAGAATGACTGCTGTCTGCAAGACTGATACATACACTGATGAGCTAATGACCACTGTTATTCATAAAAGAGATTCTGCCAAGTTAATTCTTTCTAGAAGTCAGAACACCTGGTCTTATTTTCCTGTACACATGTCATTATTGCATTTTCATAAGATCTTGAGGCGACTTTTCATTTAGTTTCAAATCTTAATCTCTTCTCACTTTTATTTTGTATTCAATAAGCATTCGGCCAAGAAAAGAAAATCATGGGTTCTGTCCCCATTTCCAAGACTTGTGTCAATATTGTTTGACTGGGCAGAATGCCATTCTTATAAGTATTCCTGTAAGTCATGACATTCCATTGTGATAGCACTGTAAAGGTATCCTTAAGTGACCTCATCATGTACATACCATCATATGACTGTGGATATTGTGAGAATATAAAACCATTTACAAACAAGCAAGCAAACAAGTATTTTTTTCAAAAGAATTGTTGGAATCTTTTCGTTGTTCATGCATATTTTGTCCTCAACTTGACGATTCTTACTTAATGTTGTAGTTTTGTTGATTAAGTCATTATTATTTTGTTTACTGACCTGCACTAGGTATTGATAATGCAATGAACATTCAATATATGTATGTCTATAATACTCCTATCACATAAGAGACAGCTCTCCGGCCATTTTATTTGCTTGGTGTTATTTTGGGTGCATGCCTTCTATACATACAAGTTTATTATCGATGAAGGAGGTAGTGGGTCACAACAAGTGGGGATCGTGGTTTTTGAGCTTTGGTTTAAAATCAGGAAGACTTTTCAATGTAGTCAAGGGATAATTTAAGTATTAAGTTCCAGTAAGCCTGTATTCAATTTGCATGTCTATGCATTATGAATGTCATTAGGATAAGGACAAATTCAATGAAATTCGTTTTATAAGAATGAAATATATTGTGAATGGGAATTTTAATTATGTGTAATTTGTTTACTAGTTTTAGCTAAAACAAAAGATCACATGAAAGTGTTGATTAAAGATAATCAATTATAAGATATTATAAAAGATTATTGCATCATTTGAGGTTAAATGAGAAGTTAATCAGTTCAATCCAATCACTATTGCTAAATGATGCGTAAATGTATATTTACCAGACAGATCAGATGAGACATGTTAAACTAGCACTGGGGAGGTAGTACAAGAGATTTCCTTATCTCATGTATAAGAAATTGTCATGCATTGCTACTGCTGTGATGTTCATTATCCAACGTTGGTCTTTGCGTTCATGAATTCAATCCAGGTACTTTGACGTCATATCATCCAGTGGGGATTTCATCTATATAACAGGTATTTGTATCTTGCGTGGTATGTTCTCAGGTTATGAATAATTCTATCGAACCTTAGCTCAATCAATGACTTGGGATAGGTCCTAACACTGTTATGGGGCAATCTCAGCTGATATTGGTCTTTATAGAACAATATCAATTGGTATATTGGTCTTTATAGAACAATATCCACTGGTGCTTAAGTGTTATGTCTTCATCATAAACATATTACCAAATCCTTAAATTTCATTGCTTTTTTATCATCATTGGATACAATTCTAGTTTGTAAAAAAGCCAGGTTTCATACTCTCCTACTGTTTTGATTTTCTATGTGGAAGATAGTACACATTCAAAATTTCAAGCTGCACTTCTTTTTTACAACCATCTTTAATTTACATTTTTAAGCTGCCTATTTTGGTAGGGTAGAAAAATGAAGAATTATCATATATCTTACCAAAATCTTAGTCCAAATTGTTTTGACTTTCTATTATTTTTTTTATGTATGAGTCTGGATTTAATGAACATCAGAAGTCTTGTCATCTATAAAGTGATGGAAAAAAGCATCCCATACCAGGGTCTGCATTTAAATGATAATAATGATAAGAAATGGTTACTTTCACATGTATATTGCACATAGATCAAAGACTTGTTCTTTATCTACAAGTTGATACAAATGTCATATTTCAAAGTTCAGTGCAAATATATATTTAAGTACCTTTCCTGTATCTACTGGGGTACTCAAATTTTGGTGGAAATTGAGACAGGAACTCAACCACGTGACTTGTTGAGATTCCACAATACCCAATGTATGTCCTAAACAGCTATAATCCAGGCAAATATAAACACAAGGTCTGAGCTTAATTTACACTTACAAAAACAAATGTTCTTAAATGGCATTGCTGTTTTTCAATTTAATATGAATTATTTCAATGCGTTAATCTTGATACATGGCTCCATTCATTGTACAAATGATGCAGAAGTGAAGTGGAAGATGGGAACAAAATATCTTTGTTTACATTATCCACTGAATGTTTGTGGATGTATAAGAAGTGGCGAGACGAGGCATGTAACTAGTCGTGGCTAACACAAATGTGAACTGAAACAGAGTACATTATGGAAATTGAACATTTAGTGAGTGTATAACTGGTATTATGAGACATGTCCTGTAGAAAATATTGTAGATGAAGAACAGACTTTTGAGTTTCGATTCATGTGCGATGAATGTGAAAGTGATGTTTTTTTTTCTTCAAATATCATTTGAATGCTGACTCAGTTGCAGTTTTCTGATTTCCCTCACCTTATATAGGACTGGAGGTCTGACGTGCATGAAATCCAGATTTAACAAAATCTGATGGAATGTCAGAAATAACTAAATCTATCCATTTTTGATAGTAGTTACTTTTGTTTATTTATATGATCTCACCTACTTCTAAAAAAAATCACATTTAATCTTTGAGGGAATGTATAAAGGTCAGGTAAAGGCCAGGGCTGTTCCATTTCAACAAAAATTACAATAGAATTTAGAGGAATTATTACCAGCAGATTCTGGGGTCATCCATTGATCCGTTATTTGCTTCTCATGACTTGTTGTATAATTTGAGGTGATTAATGTGGAGGCCACTGCTGACTCTGCATGTATTCTGTCATTTGTTCTGTTTAGAACAAAGGGTAGAAACTTTGTTGCTGCATTCATAGATTAGCTTGCTGAATCAGTATTTTGTTTTGGTTCTTTGGTCATTCCGTAATTGTTTTAAGTCTAGGGTTACCATTTACTGTATCTGTTTCTGTGTGGTAGATCATGATCATACACTGACAATATGACATCATCATGTGTAAGGGCTTTGAGAATATCAATACTGTATATATCTGTCCATCAGGCATGCTCGTGCATATTTCCCTTTGAGACTCTCAATACTGTAAATATCTGTTTATTGTGCATACTCATGTATATTTAGCTGGCACATTTCGGCAATATTGTATATCTTTTTTTGATTTTATATTTAAGAATTACCAGGCACCAGATGCCCAAAAGTTAGAGTTATCAATAGCTAGTGGTTAGTGAAAAACTCAAATTGTTGCCACTGAAAATAA